ATACGAGCAGTTTAAATAAAACCAATGAGCTGATGACTATACGCTGTTGCACGGCTCAAATCAGGTATTGTCATATTCCGTTATGGGAAATCTTTTTCACCAACCATTATTTTGGTGGTTTTCGACAGGTGTTTGACACTGCGCAAGACGGAAAAAAAACAGTTGATGGTATAAAATCACCTCCAGTTGATTTCACAAGTAAAACCTCCATTTCCCAAGAGGGAAAACCTCCAGTGTTTAAATCACCACTTCATGTTTGTGAAACACCACTTCATGGTATAGTATGATGTACCAATTCCACCCTTCCCATGTTTGTGACATCCTCTAGAAATCATGGTCCAGTCACCAAGTCACCAATGACCTACCACCACCTTTGATGTATTTTGCAATATGTTGTTGGCATGATTTTCCATTGCTCCATGAAATACCACCGTGATCTTTCCATGAAATATCCCCATGATATCCCGTCTTTTGATCAATTACATCTCCATATTTATGATACAAAATGGTTTCAAGCTGGAGACATGTTGCTTAAACCCTGCCAAATCTTAAAGATTTCAAATGAAAATGAAAAATCACACATCCATTTGGTTAAATTCACCAGGGTCAACCATTTCAATCAATCTTGCAATATGATTGTGAATCACATTTAAAGTAATTCACCAGGGGTAAGTCACCACTTGAGCTTATTTTTTTTTGCCAGGCGCTGCGGCCGCTAGGTGCCAAAGGGGGGGCCCGCAAACAAAAAGGGCTGGTTCTTTCGGCAACGTCCGTCTGGATGATGTCGATGTCTGCGGATTTATGGCAATTGATGGCAGATGTCACCATGAAAAAATGATTTTTTCACCAGCAGAAATGGTGGCTGTTCATGGTGATACTGTGGATGGGGCTTTTTGAAACCCTGCACCAGTTGAAAACGGACGGTGGTAAACATCCCACTATTTTGTTTGGGTTTCAACCAACCTTTTTGTGGCGCAGGATTTCGCAACCATCCACAGTATCATGGGATAATCCAGATGAATTTGATGATCTCACTGTTTTCCGCTGGAATCATGGTTAGTAAGGAGAATTCTCCCCTAGGATATGAATTGCGCAAGGGCGCATGGCAAGAGGAATGATGATCTGAACTGGCCTTTTTTCATGGGGGTGTCGCAACCATCAATTCGTCATCATTGGTCAGTATTCCCTTTTTGCTTAGTTCATTCCCCATTGTAGCCTTATCACTAGGCAGGGTAGCGTCGTCCAAGTTTTGATATTTTGCAAAGTTCATGGAAATATATTTTGACTAACCAGCTAAACATGTCCAATACTTGTTGCGCGGTAAGTATCTAAGGTTGATCATGAAATAGGGTGTATACAGCAATGGCCAATTCTCACAGGGAGAATGATGACTGTGGATTTGGGGTACCTCTATTTTTGGGACGAGGTTCTTTGTGAATATCCCAAGCAAAATCAGATACGCTGCAAAACCAAAGAGCTTGTTGCTATATGTGCCGTCGAAAGTTACCCATGCAGGGCGATCGTCCCGCCGGTCGGGGATTGTCATGAGCGATTGAGGTGAAACCCCAAATTCAGATCAACTAAGGGGTCAGGTTTCCCACCATCAACCCCCAAGTTGGGCAGAAAGATTTATGTTTTGCCTCTATGATTTGAGGTGATCTGTCTTAGTACCCCTGAAAACCTTCAGCAAACAAGAAAGTTGGGAAACAAATCTGAAAATCAATGGTTGTCCATCATGTTCCCCCTTGCGAAAATTGCCATGAATCTGAATGTGATACCTCCGTGACGTGGGAAGGATACTTTACAAAGAGAATTATCCTGAAATGGGAAGTTTCAGTGTATGATTTATCCAGATGAAAATTATCCCACAAATTCTATGGTATCCCATGGTGGCCAGGCCCCAAAGCCAGGCGCTTGGGAGGTGCTCCTCGGTTAACCTGGCTGACGGAAATCATTCCAAGAGAAAGCAAGAAAGATGAGAAATCACCATGAAATAGACCAATAGCGACTACCCTCTTGTTATGACTAACAGTTTGCCATGGTATAGATGGCCCATGGAAATAGATGGTTTACCGTTCTTTAAAATGGTTATTTTCCATGGCTATGTCAAATAACCAGATGGTAGTGTTTATAATGATTATAATCGATATTAATAGTGTGATAAATGACAGTGGTTAGTGGTGATTAACTATGGTGAAGTGCGATTCATGGTGCTTTATGATGAGTAATCGTGATTGATGCTTCAGAAAGCAACACAATGGGATGTATAAGCTAACATAAGTAGACCATTTCTACATGATCTACCTACTTAAAAATGTGATGTTCCATAGCTATGCTACTGTGACCGAGGGCCATCATCAAAACTGGGCTTGACCACTAATGAAGAATGGAAATAACCCTGGATATACCAGTTTATGCGCATAATATACGTACAATGAATGGGGATAAAAAAGGATATTAATTATGATATAGTTTCAAAAACCTAGGTTATGGAATTAGTGGTGTAAGCATCATTTTTAGGATCAATAGCATCAAAATATGTGGGTATCACGGACAAAATTGATGATTAAACTGCAAGCACGTGGGTGTAACCCAAACGAGAACGTGGAGCATGCTTTTCAGGAATGAAATATGAGCATTAAACCTATTTGGTTGATGATGATTACAATTTATGCGGGTATAATGGAGATAAAATGGGATTTGATTTCAAAAATCCTGGCAGCAATCTAAAAAAGTGGTGACTTGACGGAGTTTGACCTGTTTTGGCTTTTATTGGGTTATCGTACTTTTTGTCAAGCCCCTATAGATCATAGCTTCTATAGCTACAACCTGCACATGTTTGGAAACTTAGCCAGCCGAAGTGGTCAAAGCATCGATCAAAGTTGGGTAGAGTGGTGAAGATGTGGACCATCCAGTGTCTCCGGTGTTGGGGAAATCTAGAGACCCTCACCGACGGTCACCTGGTTGGGAAACACGAAGATTTTGGATCAACATGTTGATCCCACTAAATTCCATTGCATCAACCAGTTGAATCCCCCCAACAAAGCGTGTGTTTTTGTACCCTGGTGTGTGTGTGTGTGTGCGTGTGTGTCGGTGAAATCGCTTCTATCCCAATACGATTTTGTGCTGGTTCAATCCCAATGTTCGTGTATTGAAAGTTGCACGCGCGGGTATTTTTGTGGTGGTGACTGCAATACGTTTATTGTCGATCAAATGCTGCATTCAATGATGGCCATGTCGTCATGTATCCTTGGATAGATCCTTCTTCATGCCCTAATATCGCAGCTCCGGCCATTTTCATGGTTTCATCACCATTGTTGGGTTATGCCCATATTTTTCATGGTTTCATCACCGTTTCATTTATGTTTTTGTTGGGTTTATGCCCTAATATCATGCTGATTGGTGGTTTCAAACATCTTTTATCTTCATGTACGGGATGTCATCCCAACCCCATTGACTCATATGTTTCAAGGTGGTTAAAACCACCACCAACCAGATTATCATCCGATTATTAACCATTATTAAGCCACTATTAAGCCACTATTAACCATATAATAACCATATAATAACCATATATTAACTATTACTAACAGTATATTAACCATATAAGTATGTTAAAACCACCAACCAGCATGCCGAGCCGAGCAGTGCTTGCTTGCCTTTTTTCGGCCAGGTGTTGGCGCTGCGGTCAGGAGATCCTGGCCGAACTGGATGCCGTGGAAGCTCATGAGGAGCCCGGGGCGCCGGTGGAGTTCAAAAGGCAGCGATTTGTTGGGCAGGAAATGTGGAAATATCCATGGCAATAAGTGGGAGATAGATGGAGATAGATGGATAGTGGGAGATAGATGGTTAGTAAGGAGAATTCTCCTCTACAATGTGGGGCCCCCGTAAGATAGCGTTCAGTTGGTGCACATAACTCCAATTTCACTATGGTTTATGGTACGCAAATAACTATAGTATTCATGGGGTTTAAAAACCAACTTACAACTGGGGGGGCCCACATTGTGGCAGTAAGTGGGAGATAGATGGATTTCTACTTTGATAGTAGTTGTTATTATTCACATCATGAAAAAAAACACCATATGACTTGAACTTAGCATGTGGTGGACTGGTGTACCCTTCAGTGTCATCAAACATGGCTAGCTTGAAAATCTCCGAACCACATGGAGGTTTTGTTTCCAGTGCCATGTGTGATTTTCGGGTATGTTTATTGCTAAAGCCCCCCCTAGGGATATATCATGACATATCTACCATCCCTAGCTTTACTCAGAAGCGACTTGGTGAACTCATGACGTCAAGCTGCCGTACCAGTGAGCATCGAGATCAAAGGTGGTTCGCCGATCACGGCCATGGCCTGGAAAATGTGCAGTATGTCGGTTTGGCCATGAATCAACACCCCAAAAGAGTAATGAAAAATCATCCCGGAATGTGTTTTTTTCGGTGATTCTGCGATCTTCCTAATAGCTTGGAAATCCAGTTTGGTGCCTTTTGGAGATGTTCGGAGAAGGAGTCAAGATTGTGTGTATGACTCTGAAGTCAATTTACTGCGGGTGGATGAACCTGTATTAAGTATTGTGATAATATTCAATAGGGCACCAGCGTTTTGATTCACAGCCAGTGAATAGATTGCACAATCCTGGACTTGAATCCCAGAAGTGCCACATGCTTAAATGCTTTTCTTGAGCCATTTGCCATGTGTTAACCCTCACTTTTATTGATAAAGACATGTTTTCTCGTGGTTTTGACATGTTTAACCCCCAATATTTATTTTCGTAGAGTCCGCATTTTACTGGCGCTGAACCAGATGTTCAATCGATTTGATTGAGGAAAGATCTACAGGAAGACCTACATGAACCCCAGGCTTTGCAATGTGCTGGTCCCCAACAAAGCAAGGCTTCCGGCTTCCCCAGTTCTATCCCTATTCTACATATTGTTGGTTAATCCAGGTATTTGCAAGTCAATCCTTCATGAGTTTTCTGGTGAAAGCACCATTTCTCCAGGAGTTTTGCAGCCGACCCATGCAGCAGTTGCTGGAAGCAGCGGATCTGCTGGCAGGTGAAACGGCTTGGGAATGCTTGGGGCCTCCAAAAACTGGAAAAAAAATCACTGGTTGGTGGAGAATATCCTGGTTGGTGGTTGATGGTTAATAGTGGTTAATAGGCTATAAACCAACAACAATGGGAACATGATGGTGATCTGGTTGGTGGTTCGAACAATTTTTTTCCATTCAGTTGGGAATGTCATAATCCCAACTGACGAACTCCATCATTTTTCAGAGGGGTAGGTCAACCACCAACCAGAACATGTGATCCCCAGGCGAACCAGCAGCTCAACCTGCCTCTTGATGATCTCTGCCTCCTTTGGGAGCACATCTTTTGGAGCAAGTCTCGCGGAACGGCGTCCAAGCTTGGGCTCCCGTTGCCAAGACTTTCTGGAACTTTGGACCATTGGAAGCCGCCAAAATAATCATACCTAATTTCCCTAAGCTTCAAAAATATTGGCCCTGCAAGGGGATATGTGCCATGCAGGAATGGATAATAAGATGATTCACCCCTGGATTTTGGATGATTTTGGTGTATCCATAATATCACAACTGGCTGGTGGTTCAAACATTTTTTTTTCCATATCAGTAGTACCGCACAAGGGGGTGGCGGAAGTTTCAAAAATAGGAAACCGATAGGAGAGGTTGGTTGTTGTGAATCAGGGATGGCAGAGCGAAGCCACTGATGGACCGAAAGGTGCTTGAGGTCTCCTCTTTTTCTCTCTCTTTCTCTGACTATCTACCTACCTACCTATCTACCTATCTATCTATCTATCTATGTATCTATTTATCTATCGATCTAAATCTATCTATCTATCTATCTATCTGTCTGTCTGTCTGTTTGTCTGTCTGTCTATCTGTGGTGCAGCGTCATTCAGTGTAATGTAGTGTAGTGTAATGTAGTGTAGTGTATGGAGTGTAGTGGAATGTAATGTAGTGATATGTAGTGTAGTGTAGTGTAATTTAGTGTAGTGGAGTGTAGTTGTGTAGTTGTAATTGTAGTGTAGTGGAGTGTAGTGTAGTGTAATGTAGGAAATGTGCTTCGCACCACAACGGCGTTTTCGACATCTCAACTTCCAAAACTGGTCCGACACTGGTGTGGTTTGTTATTTTGACTTCGAAATGTGCTTCGCGCCACAACGGCGTGCACTTTTTCGACATCGCAACTTCCAAAAGTGGTCCGGACCTTGTGTGTTTTGCGCATTTTGACTTCGAAATGTGCTTCGCGCATCTTCGCGCCACAACGGCGTGCACTTTTTCATCTCTCATCTGGCCAGATGGCTCCGCACCCGCCGCTTTAGCGAGCCTACTTTTTAGACCCTCCGGAGCCACAAATCATTGGAAAAACATAGTGTTTCGCGACTTTCCTACCTTTTCGCGCACCTGGATCTTCTTTCTTCTGCTCTTCTCTCTTCTACTCTTCTCTCTTCTACTCTTTCTCTTCTCTCTGACCCTTTCCATCTCTGCCTTTCATCTGTCCATATTGTCGGAAGTTTGACTTCTAAACTTCCTTCGAATATATATACATATGGGATAATCCTTCCCATTGACTAATATTTTTGAAGATGGTTAAGACCACCAACCAGATAATGTTTTGCAGCTTCCTGGCAAAAATCCAGCGAAGCATTTGGGGACCAAAGGGCTCCCCAGCAGTCATGGCTCACATGTTTCCTTGACCAGAACAATTGAATGATCTAGCTACTGAAGCATGTTAAAGCGACATAAAACAACAGCCATCGAAAAATAGGATGATTATCTCCAATGACAAGGATGAGCATATTTACGCGTCCCGGCCTTTCTGAATGCTTCAGAGTGATTGTATGCGCATACATGTGCCCCATTCTACTGTATCTCATTTCATCCCAAAGTTGTTTGTGGGATAATCCACTTCATCCTAATTGGGAAGTATGTACCACCATAACATCCCTATATTAAAGTTAAACCCCAAATTGTTCATGAACGAAATCCTTATTTTAATCGTGAAATCATCCGGTTGCACCCCCCTTTGCTCCCCAGCGGCGTCCAGGCGACGCCCCAGAGAGCCTTGATCCTCCAGGGAGCGAGGTGAAAGCAGAGGCTGCAGAGGCAGCAGGCGCGAGGTTTGGGTGCTGACTACCAGGGGGTAAATGCGGGGAAGTTCCTCCTGAATTTTTGTTGAGTTTACTGAGGAACCTGGATTGAAATATCAAAAAATTGCGATCTAACCCACCAAATATGAGGCGTGAGGAGGATTTACACTGAGTAGATTATAAGCATCATGCTGGTTGCCTTGCCATGACACAGGGAAAATCTACTGCACACCCGAAAAAGGGATCCGAAATTGAATACCCTCTGGTAATCAAACGTGGCAATAGAAAATCCCCTTGCTGAAGATGTTTTTTATTTTCCTGGTCATGTGTGCAGATGTGTGACATTTGCTGCCCTCGGCGCTTCACTGGTTCTGTAGATGCGCGGCAACACAATGAATGAGGAGATGGAAGTTGAAATGGAATATTATAGAATGTTTCAATGTTTCAGGCACAACATTACTAAGTTTAGCTTTCAGGCCTCACCTGGCTCCTTCTTTGAACGTATTGTTTTCCTTTTGTATGTTGTTTATTATATCCGGGGGGGGCCAGGGCGGACTTTTGAATGCCCGGCTGACAAGTTTGAGCCAGTGCGTTTAGGAAATCTGGCCACAGTCACTTTGCAGCATTTCCGACGGTTTCCTTCAGCCATGGATGTCTTGATCCAAAGGCTAGCTGTAGGGATCCTCAGCTATGCAAATCTCAGAGCTGGTGGAGGTAGAACATTTGAGTGAGGTTTCAGGTTGTGCTTGCCACCATGTTTGGTGATCTCATCACATATAAAAGGCAAGAGTTCCATTTCGATTGCGAAAACTGGAGAGGGGGGCTCCCATCCTCGGGAGAAAAGAGAACATGTCAACACGACATTCTGAGCTTTGTGATGTTTTTGATTTTCTGTTTTGATTTGCATGACTGAATGGCAGAGTCGAATCAAGCAGGCCAAATCCATGTGCTGTGGTGGCTCCAAGGGATTTTAGCAGTGAGGCCAGGGCAGACCTGTTGGGGGCTGGGCAGAAATTTGATGAGATCAATGTTCCGATCCACCAGAGCCTGACAACTCACTTGGACTATGCGAAAAAGATGGACATTCGGCAGGGTTCTCAGAAGCTTGGTGCAATGTGTGCGGATGCCCAATCCGAGCAGGTCATCACGATGCCCTTCTTGAAGGAAAAATTGAAGGACTTTGGCCCCGGAGAGTTTGAGGTCAGTGGCATTTGCAACCCATGGCATTTGTTCGATCCATCTCTTCTGGCAAGTCCAACCGTGACAATTCGACGGGAGGCCATCGAGGAGATCAAGACTACATTTCTTCAGAAGAAGCCCCATGGCATCCCCCAGGAGTTTCGGATTCTTTGCAGCTGGGATGGACGGCAGAAACTGACGGTGAGGCCGTCCATTGGGCCTGAAAACATGTATTTTGTGAATTTGTTTGAGATGATGTCTGGAATGTTTTTCGAAAGTGATTTTTTGTTTGTTTCGCATTTTGCTGGATTTATCTGGATTTCCTCGATGCTCCTTGACATGTGTGTTTTCGAATGGTTTCTGGAATCATAGTGGCCTCCTTACAGTAGGAGGATATTTGTGCAATCTTGCCATCGCGCTTCAGGGGGTCGCATGACGAGATGTGGGTAGCATTTAATTTGTTGAATGCGTCGGCTGCGCGTGCCGACAAGGTGAGGAAGATGAGTGGCTTCAGTGCGCCTTGTCAGTGCCGGTGAAAGTCTTGATCAACAAGGATCAGCAGGGCATCTTTCTTGCTTCTCCAGCTTGCTGAGCGGACCATCCAGGCCGGCATGCTTCAGCGAAAGACCCCGCTGGTGCGGATGTCTGAAATCGCACGAGTGAGCAAGCTATTGGAATCATCGCAGAAACCAGTGACGCTGAAGGCAATTTCAGAGTTTTTTGACCAGGCCGGGCGCTTTGAAATGAATAAATTTGTTCCTTGGCAGGCGGCTCTTAAATCCCAAACGATTTGGAGGGTGTGAATCTGTTCTGGTTTTGGTTGGGAATCAACTTCAGCTGATAAAGGGGGGGTCAGGGAAGGAAAGGAATTCAGCAGATGACAGACATTCCAGTTTTTCAAGGCGCTGTTGTCCAATTTACTCCCACCTTACAGCAACAAAACTTTGTATATCAATCGTCTTAGCTTCAAAAGATGGACAAATGATTTGGTGATTGTAATGGAGTTCATTGGCCGTTGACGGCTGCTGCGCATCATATTTACTTTCATATCCTGACACTTCGCCGGTCAGGTGGAGTTTGCTGACAAGAGCGAGGCCATCACCCTGTCGACGGTGCAGCAGTGCTGTCAGATCAACAGCGAGCTTTTGGTGGACCAAAGGATCTTGCCCATTCTTCAGCAGTGTGAGGCTTGGACAGTGAAGGGGGAAAGCACTCCCTCTGATGGGTTCTCTAAGATGCACACCATATGCAGCAAATGCATCTCGCTTTAAGAGCTTTAAACATTTTGTGATTTGTGGACGGTTTGATAATGGACAGGTTGCATTTGGATGTTATTGGCATTCAGAGGGCATTTAGTTTTCGGAGATTGTCAATGAAAGCCGAAAAAAGGCCTTTTCGTCGTGGATTCGCTTTGGGCGCTGCAACGTGCCAATCTACTTCCTAGTGTTCCATCTAAAGAATTTCTCATGGGCAACAGCAAGTCCAAAAAACATCTTACATAGAGGTCCCGTTGGCAAGGTGGAGGATTGTGACCCATCTCCTGTCTCTTTCTGACGAGCAATTCGTGAAAGACCGCTTTTGCCTGGCATCTGCTTCGTTGCAATCGTCGTGGCCCATTGATGGCGTGGAATTCACAGCTCCTTCTTTGATTTTGGCCGAAATTGTCAAGGACTTTCATCAAGGGCAGTTTGACCCATGTTTGCGTACGTTCCTTGCTCAAATGCCCCGGAGGCAGGATACAGGAAACAAAGATGTGTGTCTTATTTCTCTGTTATGAAAAGGCTTTGTTTTCCGAGAAGGTACTGTGCCAAAGCAAACAGTTTGCCGAAGCAAGAGTGGAATCGGAAGAAACTGGAAACAACTCCGTCAAGAATGAAACCCTGCGTTTCCAATTCCCTTCCCTTGTTACCATCATTTCTGGTCAGGATCTGCGCAACAGATGTTGAACCTTGAGAAGATCCAAGTTAGAATGGATGACTTCAACAAGGCATCAGTGGCCCATGCCGCTCCGGTGACGTGTGCGGAACCGGCTGCAGTAGCTAGGCGCTGGCCGCGGTGACTTGTCTCGCGGCCCTGGCCGCCGTTACTTGACGCAATATCAACCTGTTTGAAGATCGGGTAAGAAGTTAACTTACGAATGCTCGGCTGGTCTTGGCTACATCCGCCGGTCTTGGCTGCATCCGACTTTTGAGGTGCTGTGGTGTTTGTGGCTCCACCTCGCGTTGCGGCTTGGTGGCAAGCAGTGTCCATTGCCACTTGCAAGCACAAAATGCAAAGTTTGAGAGTTGAGACAAATGGTTTTGCGCCATCGAGTTCCTCGCTCCCTAAAGTTGTTTTTGGCCGCGGAGGCCTGTCGCATTTTTGTGGGGCTCGGGCAGATGACGGTGCACTACATGCACTTAAACTCATTCGCTACGCTGTGCTGGCAATTGCACCGCACATGCCAGCACCTGTTGGGCCGGAGGCCCCGCGACCTCCTCCTTTCACGCCGGGAGGAGATCGACCAGGAGGCCAGAGTAAGACAAGTTGCTTCAAGGATTTGTTGTGCTTGAGCAGCACTTGATGGCATGGAACAGTTTAAGCAAATCCAAGCATTGCCACGTTTGATTCCCAGAGGGTAGTTCCATTACAAAACCAACTGAGTCACCATTAAGTCAAAGAATATCCCAGAGATCACCGTTTATTACATGTTATGACAGTTAAAATATTCCACCAAAATCTTACCCATACTCCAAGGCTGGCCATACTCAAAACAAAAATGACTCAAGCACCCTGAAAGGCGGTATATTGTTAGAATTATATTCCCATTTCAATAACCATCTATATTGTAACATCCCCATGAATCAATGGTCCATTGCCCAAGGTGATGCTGATGCCCCTCCTTCATCGACTTCACCGTGGGGGAGCCTGGAAGATTTTTGGGCACTGACGCCAGGAAGTGGGGGGAACCTTGGTGATGGGTAGCTTAACTGGGCCCAACAGTGGGGGTTTACCAGCAAAATCTGGTGGCTTAACCATCAAAACTTGGGAAAACCCACTGGTGAAGAGTAGTTTCATCCTCTGTTGCCATTTAGATTATGATGTTTGCTGAAGAGCTAAAAACGACGTGTTTGTTTTTTTCTCTCCCAGGCATCGAAGATTGGCCATGGTAACTGACCAAAATTGTGGATACAACTGGGATGATCCAGCTAGGATGCTGAGTGGTCCCAAAGTGTCAGTAAATTACAATCTGATTTGGTGCTTTGGAACATGTTTTTTTTCCATATATTGGAAATAATCGTCCCAACTGACTGATATTTTTCAGCGGGATTGAAACCACCAACCAGTAATCCATTGATAATGAAGTGTGGCTGGAAAATCCCTTTGAAATGAAAATTGTTTATGGGAAAATCGTCTATAAATATCGTGCATTTCCATTGCCATGGTTACCAGAGGGGAATCCATTGACACCTGATGTTGTTTCCATCCCATGTCAGTTGATTGTCTACAAAAGATCCGTACTCTTGCCGGTGAGACAATCCCACGATGCAGCCATTACGTGTGTGTGTGTGTTTGGCTCAAATTAAGAACACAGGGATCCACGGATGTTGGTCATGTTTGGTTGAATAATTTTTATTGCAAGATATAACAAGTTTGACCCAAAATTGTTTCTCCACCAAGAAAATCTTGGTGTGGTAGAAAGTTGGCTTTGGACAAAGATTCACATGTTTTAGGCACTTATCTAAAAAAATGCCCCGCATTAGCACAATGACGATGTGCGTAAAATCACATCGCAAAAAAAGAATGATCCTTGTGCATTCGTTTTGCTCCCACTTTGGGGTTTCTTACAGATTGGGGTACCAGTCACCATTGGTTTCCCAACCTTTCAAATGACCAAATTCGATTGGATGATGCCTTGGGGTCCCCATGGCCTTGAGACCCAGGTCCTCGTTATTGGCTTGGACGACTCCAGGACTGGAATGCCATGGAGGCGTCACATTTCTCAGGAGAAATTATACTGACCTCATTGTGACCTCACTGGAATCATGGTTAGTACCCTCTGATAAACATTTAGATAACTATGGAAAATCACCATTTTCAATGGGAAAACTCACTATAAATGGCCATTTTCAATAGCTATGTTAGTTTACCAGAGGGTAAGGGGAATCATCCCATTTCTTTGCCTTGGTTCAGCTTAGGGATGCCTGGAGTTCACTTAAATGGCCCCAGCTGTGACGGAAAGGAACACAAAAACCGAAAAAATGCGTTGTGAATCATGATGAACGAACCAGAAACAGCGTTTCAACTTACAATCCAAAGAAAGATCGAACAGGGAAATCCTATTGATACGATCATTTTGTTCCCCACCTGCCAGGTGAGGGTTGTTAGATTTTATGTCAGTTGCCTCCTCCTGCCTCCTGCCTCGTCCTCCTCCTCCTCTCCTCCTCGTCCTCCTCGTCCTCCTTGTCATCCTTGTCGTCCTTGTCGTCCTCGTCGTCCTCGTCGTCCTCGTCGTCCTCGTCGTCCTCGTCCAACTGCGACCCGCGATCTACAGTGTTCTCTGCCGGACCTCAACCACGACCATCCACGCCCAGTGTTCCCTGCCGGACCTCAACCACGACCAGCCACGCCCAGTGTTCCCTGCCGGACCTCAACCACGACCAGCCACGCCCAGTGTTCCCTGCCGGACCTCAACCACGACCAGCCACGCCCAGTGTTCCCTGCCGGACCTCAACCGCGAGTATCCATGCCAAGTGTTCCCTGCCGGACCTCATGAGATATGCCAGATAGAATGCCAGAAGATATGCCAGATGGAATTTCAGATAGAATGCCAGAAGATATGCCAGATAAAATGCCATGAGATATGCCAGATAGAATGCCAGAAGGTATGCCAGATAAAATGTCAGATAGAACGACACAAGATATGTCAGATAGAATCCCAGAAGATTTGCCAGATAATATGCCAGAAGATATGCCAGATAGAATGCCAAAAAATATGCTAGAACATATGCCAGAAGATATGCCAGATAGAACCCCAGAAGATTTGCCAGATAGAATGCCAGAAGATATGTCAGAAGATATGCTAGAAGATATGCTAGAAAATATGCCAGATAGAATGCCAGAAGATATGCCAGAAGATATGCCAGAAGATATATCAGAAGATATGCCAGATAGAATGCCAGAAGATATTTCAGAATATATGCCAGAAGATATGCCAGATAGAATGCCAGAAGATATGCCAGATAGAATGCCAGAAGATATGCCAGATAGAATGCCAGAAGATTTGCCAGATAGAATGCCAGAAGATATGTCAGATAGAATGCCAGAAGATTTGCCAGTAAGAAAATGTAAAAATGTCACGGTGGGGATCACACGAAGTAAAGTAATTTTTTTTCTGATTTTCTTTTTAACTACGGATTTACTATGGGTTTACCACGTGGGTCCCTTGATCCAGGAGTCAATGCCCTGGTGGGACTGAAAGAATCGGTCAAGGACGGCGTTTTTTTTCGAACGCCAGGGTGACCTCAACCAAGATGGGGTCTGTCTGAAAATGGTGAGTTATAAGAAATATAATGAAAATATAGGATGAAATTATTTATGATAGATTTTAATTATTCAGACACAAAATAATATATAATGAAATTATATTATTATTAGATTATAAAGTAGATTCACTGAAAATTGTGAATCATAATAAATAATAAAAGACTATAATGATAGAGAATATAACAGTGAATAATGGGACATATATCATATATAGTGAATATATATATATAATACTATTATTATCCCATTTCTTTCTATGGTTCAAAATAATAAGTAGGTGAATCTTAGATGGGAAGAAACTAATCCTTTAGTCTTGCAATCAATCGGGTTATCTACGTTCACCAGCTACGAATTTGTTTTTTGCAGGGTATCTAAGGTATCTAAAATTGGCCATGGAATGGTGCATTTACCCCCTGGTAAATCAACAGTTCGACCCTGAAAATCACCTATTTATAGTGGTTTCACATTCATCTTCCAAGCCCGATGACTGCCAGGGTGTAAGGTGAATTTTGGTGGAACTCATGGGACAATGGGAACAGATCATAGAGATATGACGGGAATATTGGAGATGTAACCAACATTGAGGGAATAGAACTCACAATCAATGGATTGGTTTAAGAGAAAATCTGCAGGAAACAGCGATATTGATCATGTAAAATCCCTGGTTTCCGATTTCGATTTTCTGTTAAACCCATCCATTGAAGCCAACAAAATCAGGATTTTAAGGATATACTGCGATATTTAACCACCACTATAATTCAGGTGAGTCGAAGAATGTGGAGATCCAAGCTAAAGAACAGGGGCAGTATGAATATGTACGAGTCATGGTTAGACGTGTAGGTTTAATTGGACATGTCTATAGCTCATTTCCTAGAAAGTCGTCAGGGATCGTCTCTGGTGTATTTCTGAAATTTCTTATGCTGATTATGCTGGTTAAATCCCTTCATAACCATGATTGTTAGTGAAATTATTGTTTGGTGAACAGTTAACCAGCATAAGACATTTCAGTTAACATTGTTGGTTAACATTATGTTTCTTTTGGATTGTAAGAAAATCATTGTTGGTGAACTGCCCCTGTTTATTGATTCATCCTCCACCGATTCCTATTTTCGTTGCTAAAATCCATGATTATTCTTCAACCCCAATGTTGATGAAAAAATCCAGAATTGTTGCTCCAGGGGTAACAAAGCCATACAAATCCATAAATGAAGGTACCCTCTCGTTACTTAACATAACCATGGTATAGATGCCCTAATCGAAACAGATGGTTTACCGAACTTAATCGCATGGGTGGATCTTTCCATGGCAAACTGTGAATGTCATAACCAGAGATCACCCAACCATGTTCCAACTACTTACGGATCCCAGATATTTAAGGATTGGGATCTCGGAAAATGTGGATCCGTCGATCTCGTAAATCCCCAGTGTTGATTTTTCCCATGTGGGAAAAATCAATGCCATAAACTTACCACCCATAAACCTGGAAATTGAAAAATACCAGGATGAATGGAGGTACCAAATGGAAAATCCATCTACACATGTATATTTAGGGGTAGCCTTATTTTAGGAAACCTCCATTTAAGCCATTATATATGATTTTTACCACCTATTTATTGTGATTTGGGGAATGGTTTATTATTGTTTTATCCACATGATTCCTATTTTACCAATGGGACAACCTCCACAGGACACTTCCAGCCATATGGTCCATCGCGCGTACCGCGCGGCGGGCTCGCTGGGAGGCGCACAACAACCTGAATGGATGATATCTGGGTCAATCAACTGGATGGGTTAACCAGTTAACCATTCAAAATTGCTATTTGACCAACCAAAAATTGGAATACTATAGAACTTATTCGACTGTTTCAACCAACTAAAGATTCAAAATTGGGATTTGTAGTGTAAAAGAATTTGCTTGAACCAAGATGAAGTGGGGATATGGCTGATGTTAGATACTGAAACCAACTGGATAGAAACCAGCTGGGTGTCCGTGGCTAACGCCACAAAGTTCTCCCAAGAGACTCAAAGTGCCACCTTGGCCAAAGTTTCTTTCGTCTCTGGCAACAATGGTCCATCAAAGATTGGATTTAATGAAAATTGAGGATATAGAACTGGGGAAACCAAGAGGATGTAATGAAAGTATGAAATACAACTGGAAAATAAGTATTAAACTTATTGGCTTCATATAAATATATATATATAAAAATCATATAAATCCCCAAGTGGATTGGCTTCACCCCCAAGTGCTTTAATACAACTTAATTTGCTGCAAGAAAGCGGAGGATTTTTTGAACCTGAGGTCAGGACTCCCACCCCGGTTGCAAGCACTGCAGAGACGCGTTTGCATTCCCAAATAATGAAGTTGTTGTGGTTCATAGAGAAACTCAACCAGGTTTTTTAGTTCCCATATAGATACTACCAAGCTATTCTCAACCAGGTTTTTTGTGGTGTTTTTTGAAACTCAATAGGAACTCCCCAACTGCAGAATTCGGTGTACCAGAAAGATTCCAGAAAATTATCCAAATTGCCATGGAAGACGAGGAATTTAACTTTCTTCAGCCAGCAGATTGTTAATCTCCAAAAACGCAGTTGAGCACGAAAATGGCGATCATCAAGGATTTGCAGATGTTGATGGAGCTTCGGTAGGGATGGCAGTAACACAAATCAAGCTTTTTGATTTGCAATGTCGGTCTGAATCAAAATGAAGACACTTTCAACAGGTCCAAGAAATTTTGTGATCGAATTGTGATTTCGTTCACTGACATGAAGCAGCTTCATTGCGGTCGTATATCATCAAATCACCTCATAGACGATAGCTGGCTTGTTTTGGATTTCAACATTGCAGACCGTGACATCAATGTGGTTGCTGGATCTCAGTCTGAGCAATCTCCAAGGGTTTTCAAGCCGCTCAAACTGTGCACAACGATGATCATCATGTCGTCATCATGATGTTCTATGGTCAGAATTCCATGACGCACAACATTGTAATAGTTCTGATCTAATGATGATGTTCTATTACCATATTCTCATCATATTGTTTGTGATCATTTGGAATAGACATGTTGCTGGTTGGTGGTTTGGAACATGTTTTATTTTCCCATATATTGGGAATAATCATCCCAACTGACTTTCATATTTTTCAGAGGGGTAGGTCAACCACCCACCAGGTTGTGCTTTGGTTCGTGTCTGGGCCCAAATCTCTGGCTTTGTTTATCTCAGGCAGCAAGCGCGAGGACGAGGTTCAGAAGCCCTTAACGCCAGATCTGGATCCGGTGCAGGTTGGGGGAGACATTTCCGGGCGGAGAGCAACGTGGAGGTTTCCATAGTCATGGGGATACCCCTTTATCGCTGGATGGTTTATTTCATGGAAAATCTTACTAAAACGGATGATTTGGGTGTATCCCTAGTTTAGGAAACCACCATGTGTTAAATGTGTTCTGTTTTTTGTGATTCAGGGGACCTTAATGTACATTAAAGGGATTGTTATTTATGGACATTTATGGGATTTTTATACGTAGGACATTTATGGGCGAGAACTTGGGTAACCAACTGATTGAAGGGTTGTGAATTAATCCATCTGGGACATGAGAATGCGGATTTTAAAAATCACTGAAGGAATGATACTACCGTGGTTTCCGGGTAGTTCAATACAACTTCATTTTTTGCCATGTTGTTCAGCCATTTTTTTAATCAACCAGCTAAAAGCTGCGGTCGCTATCTAAATTTGGCCATGTCATGGGAAATGGGATGTGAAACATGCGATACCAATGGGATGGGAATATCAAGCGGTGACATAAAATACTGGTTGGTGGTTTGGAACATGTTTTCCATTCAGTTGGGAATGTCATCATCCCAACTGACGAACTCCATCATTTTTCAGAGGGGTTACCAGCAACCAGCAACCATAAATAGATGGATGATAGATCCAGATTCCATGAACATATGGGAGATTTATCGGCAAGAAACTGCTGCACCAATTATCCCGTTATCCCCTTTATCAAATCAGAAGATTCATGAGAAAGAAGTTGATTGAATCTGGATATATCCAGATAGACTGGTTGTTCAGCTATTTGATATGTTTGGATACACTGTATTGAGAGTTATTGGGAGTTATTGGTATATTAACCAGCAAGATTTAGGATTCTATCAAGAAGAATCAACGGAGATGTAATGGGTTTCCCCAGAAACAGGCTGGTGTATACAGCATACCCTCAAACTGCCTTTCTAAAATGGGAAAAAAGGATTCAACTAACCGTTTGATTTTGGGGTACCTTCATTCTTGGACAAACCTTACACTTACAGATTCTTGTTGCAGGGACATGGTGTGACCATACGTGTGGTACATTTATAGTGGAATTTGGAATCGCTTGAACTACTTGGAGGATCCATCCCACTTTGTGATGAAGAGCCGGCTGAACAAGTTGCATAATGAAGGCTTGTGACATATGGGGCTTTCCAATCCATGGGGATTACCCTTAAACATCATCATCATCCATATTTAGCTATTGGGATTTTCTCATGGAAATTGGATTTTCCCATGGAAATTTAGAAAATCATCATTTCCAATGGATTGGGATTTTCCCATGGAACTTTCTACCATCCAGCGACAAATACAGGGGCTATCCCCATGACGATGGAAAGCCCCAGCCTCGTGGGATGATTCCAGGATTACCCGGCCTGGTAAACATACAAAAAACGATGGAAAATCACCATGTTTAATGGGTAAGTCAACTATAAATGAGCCATTTTCAACAGCAAACTGTAACAAATTACCAGAGGGTAGTTTACCATATCATCCCATGAAATTCACCACTGTTAACCATAGAACATCACCATTTTCCTAGTGGTCAAATCACCATTTTCAATAGCTATTTTGACATAACCGGAGGGTAAATGGAATGACTTCAGCGACAGGTCTATGGTCGCATCGAGGATACTGTTGAGACCTTGGTTTTGCTGGTCTTGGAACCGGTGCTGAAGGGCCCCTTGGCAAGGAGTTGGCATCATACTTGGGAGATGGTAGAAATGGATAGAATTATATGATAATTGTAGGGGTTATATCATTATATCCTGATCGAGGTTGTTACCACGGTATTTCCAATTTATAATCCCAACTGCACCTTCCAGTGGTGAAGACCCCTACAAAGTCTTTAGTGGATACTTCAGTTGAAGGGATTCTAGAATATGTTAAAGATTGAAATCTTGGGTTTGGGGTCGACAAGATTGGTTCGAGCTACCCTGAACCCACCCAGCCTTGTTGGGCGGTCATACCTGTGGGGGGTGGTACTTGTAGGACGGGGTCCCATGATCAGCCAAGTTGACTCATAACTTAGTTCACTAGGCTTTATAGGGGATATAACTATAGTCATCCCCAAATAGATGGACAAGTAAATCCAAGTTTTTTCTGATGATCTTTTACTTTTCCATCTATTTGGAGATATATCAATATAGTGAGATGGGCGAAGTACAACATATCGTTTTATCAATGTTATATCTTCCAACAAACTATTGAAAATATATCATATATATATATATATGTGAGATATATCAATATAGTGAGATGGGCGAAGTACAACATATCGTTTTATCAATGTTATATCTTCCAACAAACTATTGAAAATATATCATATATATATATATGTGAGATATATATATATATACATCATATTATATATATATATAATATATATATATCAAATATATCATATATCCCCCAAAAATAATGTTATCTATCCCCAAAACGTTACATCCCCCGTTCCCAGTTCCGTTGAACGTGACCGCCCGGGCCGAGGCATCCCATCCTTGGGCATTCTGCCGGTGAGGATCGAAGCGCGACGTTCGGCCGGAGAGCCCAATGGTGCGGCGTTCAGCGCAAGGGCGGCCGGGAGGAGAACATATATAGGAAAACCATAGGAAAATGGTGATTTAACCACTATAAATGGTGATTTAACCACTATACATGGTGATTCAACTATATAGGTTGATATGGTTATGAATAATGGTTGATAACGGATGATCATGGTATATAAAAGTGATTAATGTGACTGTAATAGTGGTACAATGTGACTATCTGGGTAAATTATAATGACCTCACTGTTCTCCCTCACTGAAATCATGGTTAATAAGGTAAATCATCCCCAAATGGCCGCAAGATTCAGGGTACTGAAATATTGTAATTTCCAGATATTCGGAAAACCATAGGAAAATGTTGATTTAACCACTATAAATGGTGATTTAATGGCCTAATGGATATATGATGTTTATGATACCCTCTGGTACACTAACAGTTTACTATTGAAAATTGCTATTTAGTTCGTTGATTTACCAGAGAGTATATGATCTTCGGAGGTGACAGATGATAGAACCATCAACAGTAATATAGAGCCTGCCTCATACTATCGATATATGATAGATTTCTCTGGAGTATATGATAGATAAATTGGGATTGAACTGTCAACAATGGTGATAGAACCTTCAAACAGGGTTGTATCATTCGGAGATGATTTAAGCATAATGGTGATCTATACTACCAATCGGCATTTCAGGAACTGATTTATCGGAGGTACCTATCATATGTAAGGCCTGTGTAAGGGCTATGTATAGGAATATCCCCACATAGTATAGCTGCTTATAGCTTTGTATGGCACAATGCCTCGATTTGAGGGTCCTGAAATTACCACTGATGGATGGATACTTTCACTGGGAAAAATCAAGGTTTAACCAACCAATAGTGATCAAAAATCAGATGTCACATGATTTGACCCTCAAAATTCTTGGAACACCAAGTGGTGAAGGGTAGTTGGGGCCGGAGATGTCAAGTTTTTGGGTCAACCAACTGGGTAAATAGTGCTTTGACGAGCAAAAAATGCATTTTTTAATGGGGTTTGGGCGAATCGATATTTCATGGGGTACGGTATGACCCCGTCACTAGCCATTAATCCTGGTTGGTGGTCTGGAACATGTTTTATTTTCCCCAATAGTTGGGGTGATGATCCAATCTGACTTTCATATTTTTCAGAGGGGTAGGTCAACCACCAACCAGAATCCCATCGCTAACTAAGTTAGGGCGACTACCCCTCCTATAAACAAACATGGCTAGCTGGGAAATCCGCGAACGAAATGGGCCGAAATGGGAAGATCATCTATCAACGCGGGATTTTCCAGCAAGGTAAGAATACTACTTTCGGATCTCCAATTATCAACTAACTTAGGACAACTGGACAACTCACTGTTAACCAAGTAACTTAGGATAACACAGGAATAACTAACTGGTTGGTGGTTTGGAACATTTTTTGTTTTTCCATATATTGGGAATTTATAATCCCAACTGACGAACTCCATCATTTTTCAGAAGGGTAGGTCAACCACTAACCAGATGTTTTTATGCTAGTTGCATTACCCAGCTTATATAGATGATATTCCCACCAATCATGGGGGATCCAAACCACGTCTTCCCATCTTTGGGGATCCAAACAAAACCAAACAGATTATCATCCCATTATCAATCACTATTAAGCCACTATTAACCCACTATTAACCATCATTAACATAACCAGTTGCCATGAAAATTCCCATTAGATCCTATTAAACCACCATTAAATGCCATTAAACCAGCATTAACATAGGATAACGTAGGATAACATAGGATAAGTTCTCCAACTTCCCAACTTCCAGGCCCCAAAAAAATATTTCCCCGGCCGCGACCACGCCGCTTCACCACGCCGAAACGGCGAGGTGGGTGAGCACGGCAGCCCCCAAGCAGCGGTCAAAGCACTGCTGGCCAAGGCCCGCACCGAAGACGGTGCTACTCCGGTATGGGATATTGGTAGTCAATAAGTTGGGGATATATATATATAACCAACTTTTGCGATTTTTTGATATATATACTTATATATATATACATATATTTATCTATTTAATTAAAAAATATATGTAATTATATATAAATATTATCTTCCCCAATGTATCCCCAACTTTTATTAGTCAACTAGTCACTATATATTATATCCCGATCAAAATTATGGATATATCCCATGAATTTCCCAAATATGTCCCCACAAATCCAGGTTTTTAGCCATTGCATGCCATGAACTATAGTTTATATCCAAATTATATCCCAGTATAATCCCAAGTATATCCCGATAAACACCATCATCCCATTTTTCAAGAGATTAGTAAACAATTGGTTAAGAAGTGGTCAATAATAAGATGATGTAACCAACAGTATGGTTTGGGAATGTGACAATTTTAGGATATAACTATGTTGGGATATCTTTGTGATACTGTAAGAATGGTATTTTGAATCCCATTGTATAGTTATACTGTCAACATGTCCATCATTGGTTTCCACAATATTGGGATTCACAATAATGATAATGAGAATTTACTATGATATAACTATATAATGGGATAAAAATGTATAAGGATAACTCATACAATGGGATTCATAATAATGGGTTAGGGTTGTTGTTTTTTGTTGCTATTCACTACTAACAATAATCGGGGATGAAGTATGAACCCATCAGCCAAACCAGCTTCATTGTTAGCACCGATGGCTGACAAGGGACAAATCATGGTTTGATAATGCCTTGACAATGTAATGATTCGTCCCTTATCCAATTTATTCGAATGATAATGTAATGTAATGGGCTGACAGTGGAATGTAAAACAATATCAAACAATGATTGTAATGTAATGGGCTAATAATGGAACGTGAAACAATATCAAACAATGATTGTAATGTAATGGGCTGATCATGGAATGTAAAACAATATCAAACAATGATTGCACTGTAATGGGCTGATCATGGAATGTAAAACAATATCAAACAATGATTGTAATGTAGTGGGCTAATAATGGAATGTAATTGGGGTTGAATTCATCCAATTTTTACTTGCATAAAAGGTTTGCCAAAGATGATGTGTGCTTTTCCCGAAAAGCCACTACTTGGGGAATCTATGGGGTTCCTTTCTTGTTTTTTCTTGGGCTCCATAAGCAAATCCAAGATAAGGGCTCAGTAATGGCGTCATACTTGTTAAACAATTGGTTAATAATGGAATGATGTAACCAATAGTATGATTTGGTGATTTTACCAAGAACTCATTGGATATAACAGGTCAAAAAAAATATTGCGGGATATGATCGGTTACTATGCATCACCAAAAAATACGGGATGTCACCCACATAGGGCAAGGAAGGAGCATATTGGATCATCGAACAATCATGCGGGAATAACCCAGAAGAATGGGATAATATGGGATACGAATGGGTGGCTTTCATCGCCGTGTTTTGGCATAATGGGTGAATAATGGGCATGTGATATGATCTATATGATCTCATAGGATATGTCTCCCCTGATATGATGATATTGATTGATATTGGGTTTGCCTCAGTGGAATGACCCAACATTTCAGCTCAGTGAATTACCCTCTGGTTATGTCAAAATAGCTATTGAAAATCGCCCATTTATAGTGGATTTGCCCATTGAAAATGGTGATTTTCCCATAGTTATGTTAGTTTACCAGAGGGTATTATGATTTGCCCAGATATTTGAATCCACATACATTTATATAAACAGCTGGGTAAATCATAATAATTCACATGTTATAATGATTTTTACCCAGAATTGATGTTTGAATTCACATTTGTTTTCAACGAGCAATGTGACGATAATCCTTCAAACGGCCTCTTTGGACTTGTCAGAGCTACAGAGAACAGAACGAAATGGCAGAGGATGACCTACCCGGATTGGATCATCCCAGAGGCAACGGTTTCCATTTGGGAATCCACGTTGGCACCGCAACGCCGGAACACGGAGTGCGCGCCTGGCCAGCATGGTTGCTGATGGTAGGTGTACATCAGTCTTCCGGCATCTTGCCTTCGAAAACTGCTGCAGGGCTTTTGAAGTTTTGAAGGGGTCTTCAAAACGTGCCACGTAGCAGTTTCGAAGCCCGATAGAAACAGCTTGTGGGGCCTCGGGACGCCTTCGAAAGCTGCTGCGGGGCTTTTGAGGCTCTTGAGGGGGTGCGCAAAACGTGCCACGTAGCAGTTTCGAAGCCCGATAGAAACAGCTTGTGGGGCCTCGGGAGGTCCCATGGCAAAGGAAGCGGGGCGCCGTCGCAAGCTGCTGCGGAGAGTTTTGCGGTTCAAAGGCCTTCGAAAGTTGCTGCAGGACTTTTGAAGCTTTTGAGGTTTTAAAGGGGTACTCAAAACGTGCCACGTAGCAGTTTCGAAGCCCAATAGAAACAGCTTGTGGGGCCTCGGGAGGTAGCTGAAAACGTGCCACGTAGCAGTTTCGAAGCTCAATAGAAGAAGCAGCTTGTGGGGCCTCGGGAGGTCCCATGGCAAAGCAGGCGGGACTCTGTCGCAAGCTGCTGCGGAGGGTTTTGCGGTTCAAAGGCCTTCGAAAGCTGCTGCGGGGCTTTTCCCAAAAGATCAGGTTAGGCAATTTCTTGCCTAATAATTAATTCTTTATTTCCTACATAATTAGGTAATTTTTTAAAGGTAAAATTGCAAAGTCATTTCAAGGTAATTCGGCACGTGGGGTTGAAAGTTTGCATGCAAACTTGCGAGACGAGGTTGAAAGTTTGGATGCAAACTTGCGAGGGGAGCTTGAAAGTTTGCGCGCAAACTTGCAAGGCGGTGTTGAAAGTTTGCGCGAAAACTTGCATGGCGGGGTTGAAAGTTTGCAAGTAAATTTGCGCCCTTGGACACGCACGCAAGCATTTGCAGGCAAATGGTGGTGCAAGTTTAACACTCAAACTTGCGAGGGGGGTTGAAAGTTTGCCTGCAAACTTGCGAGGTTGAAAGTTTGCGTGCAAACTTGCGAGGCGGGGTTGAAAGTTTGCATGCAAACTTTCTTTGAGAGTTAGGTAAAAAATTAGTTAAGGCAAGAAAAGTTAACTAGTTTAGGTAAGGAAAAAAGCAGGCGGGACGCCTTCGCAAGCTGCTGCGGAGGGTTTTGCGGTTCAAAGGCCTTCGAAAGCTGCTACGCGGCTTTTGAGGCTTTTAAGGGGTGCTCAAAACATGCCACGTAGTAGTTTCGAAGCCTAAGTATAGAAACAGCTTGTGGGGCCTCGGGAGGTCCCATGGCAAGCAGGCGGGACGCCCTCGCAAGCTGCTGCGGAGGTTTTACGGTTCAAAGGCCTTCGAAAGCTGCTGTGTGGCTTTTCAGGCTTTTGATGCTTTTAAGGGGTGTTCAAAACGTGCCACGTAGCAGTTTCGAAGCTGCTGCGGAGGGTTTTGCGGTTCAAAGGCCTTCGAAAGTTGCTGCGGGGCTTTTGAGGCTTTTGAAGCTTTTAAGGGGCGCTCAAAACGTGCCACGTAGCAGTGTCGAAGCCCAATCGAAACAGGTTGTGGGGCCTCGGGAGGTAGCTGAAAACGTGCCACGTAGCAGTTTCGAAGCCCAATAGAAACAACTTGTGGGGTCTCGGGAGGTACCATGGCAAAGCACAAAGCAGGCACAGGGCCATGCCGCAGACCTACGGACGGAAAGGCATGGGAGATCCACCAAACCAGACTGTCCTTTCTGGATCCGATAGAAAAATTTTGAAACTGGACCAAACTACAGCCAAAAGACGCACCTCCCAGAAGGGAAAACGAAATGTCAGTGAAGGACAGAAAGGCGTGGAAGACCCACCAAACCAAAGACTGAACGTCCCTTCTGGATCCGACAGAAAAGCTTCGAATCAAAGGTCCAAGTTGCAGCCCAAAACACCTCCCATATGGGAAAACACAAAAGGCGTGGGAGATCCACCAAACCCGAGTCGTAGTAGTCATAGTAGTCATAGTAGTCATAGTAGTCATAGTAGTAGTAGCGGTGGTGGTGGTAGTAGTAATACTAGTAGTAGCAGTAGCAGTAGCAGTAGCAGTAGAAATAGTAGTAGTAATAATAATAGTAGTAGTAGTAGTAGTCGTCGTCGTCGTTGTAGTCGTAGTCGTAGTCCTTGCTTGCTGCTCCTGTTTGCTGGTGTTGCTGCTGCTGCTGCTGCTTGGTGGAGTTGTAAACAGGAATATCTTATTTCCTGGCGCGCTCCCCCTTGCTGTCGGCCGGGGTCGGTGGATAAATTGAATCTGGAAGTTGCGAATGTTTGGAAATGAGGGCGCTGCCCAGAATTATGATTTTCATGGATAAATATGATCATTAGATTCATTAGCACTTGTTTTTTTCCGATCCCTGATTTTCGGACAAGCTCATGGTGCACTTCCGGAGGTCTATGACCTTGTCCTAAAGCTACTGATCACGCGAGAAGAACAAGGAGCACAAATCACTCGCATGGCCCAGGAGCCCATTTGGCGAGGGCATCAGCTAGTTCATTCCATGGATGGCTTTTGTGACCTCTGACCTCTTCGATGATCGCAGTCTTGGCCGTCCAAAGTCCCTGGGTTTGACAGATCTGTGCCAGGACAGGATTCGACCTGCATACCGAGAGCGCTTGGGCCAGCAACCGACTAAGGGAAAGGTCAGGTCGAATGCGGAATGCAGCTGTCTCAGGCCAGTATTGTCTGCGACCTCGGCCCGAGACCATTTGGTGTGATGGACGATGGATGATAGATACAGACCTGCGAGAATGGGCACCCCATCAATCCCATCTAAGTTGACGATGGCAGATATCATAATGAGGTCGGGATCTGGCCGGGTCAATGGCCTTGGTCAAATGGCTCATGATGGAATGGTTTGTAATGGATGGTATATAAATATGTGGACATAACCCATATGTAGATATTATATATGTATACCTCCATACTCCCGTCCAGTCACCGTTGAGGCGAAGGCCGAAGATGCCGAGAGTGGCATGTCGCAGCGCTTCATCCGCAAGGCGGAGAGCGAGGGGTGTTGAGGGCATATGTGAATCTGTGTAAACGACGTCACGACGTCACGCTGGGACCTTACTGGAATAATTGTTACTGTAGTAAGGGGGATTACCCTCTGGTTATGTTAACAGTTTGATATTGAAAATTGCCATTTAGTTCGTTGATTTACCCACTACAAATGATGATTTTCCATAGTTTTCTGTACGCTTACCAGAGGGTACTTTTTCTGGGAACCTGATTTCAGCTTCGTGACTTGTTCTTTTATTTGCCCAGATATAATGTTAATGATAAATGAGGAGATTTCATGGGATATATCACCAACTTCAAAATTGGCTGTGTCTCAAAATGTTTAGTAGACCGTATACCCCCAAATTGCCATTACATGTTCTCAGCTAGGCGCGGCTAAAAATCACTTGACAAGGTGGTTAGATGGTGGTTAACCCCCACTGGCACTGGCTTGTGAGTGAGTGAGAAGATCTTGACCAACTTTGGAAGCCAGTAACCGTTTCCCTATGGGTGAAGGCTCTACCGGCAGGGTTCCAATGATCTTTTTGGCACTTGGAGGCTCAGCAGCCACCTATAAAAGCTGATCGTTGGAAGCAAAACAACTAACATGTCGAACACCAACCTTAGGTCGGAAATTGGAGAAGTTTCCAAACACAGTCTGCGATGCTGATGTCAACATTGTGCTCCATGGATGCGCGCGCTTACATAGTGGCTCTGAGGATGGAGACATGTTCCTCTGCATCGACTGGTTCACCCCGTTTGTGGTCAAACCTATGCTCGGTCGTTACCCCCTATAATGTACGCTATGATTTTTTTGCCGAGTTGTACTTTCATTCCTCTTCCAAAAAAGAAGATCTGTGGGCTCAGCAGTTTGTTTGATTTCGTTGCAGGTTTAAACATCACTTATAGCAGTTAGGAAAGTTAAGTTGTGTGTTGACCGACAAGGCGGTGATGTATTGAATGAGATCATATAAGGACCGCACTTAGCATGTGCCTCACATTTTCCATGCATTTCCTGGTGCTTCTGCTAACCTATTAGCTTCAACAAATACAAACGTCGGTTTCCCCAGGTAAGTACCTTCTATATGTCCACAGCACCTGGACTCCAGCCCCGGCAGTCATTAACCACCAGGTTTCGGAATTGCTGGTCATGCGCTTCCTTCCTGTGGTAGGTGCTGGTGCCTTTCTCAGTCTCTAAGCTGCACCAAAAGTTGCACCCTCTGGGTATGGGGTCAATACCTATGGTACCTATGGTACATAGGTGGGCCATGTAGTTCGCCAGCTGATGAGTAAGTCGAGAAGTGACGTATAACATGCCATAACCATCCATAGCCCACTTCATACCTAAATACAAGGGGGTATAGCCCAGTTACTAACCAGTTAACAAACTCCAGTATTTTGCGCAGCAAGTCCCGAAGAAACAACCTTCACGCAACATAACCATCACTGTGCTCTTCTCTTAGAAGATTTGCAAGGCTAGGGGATACCTCTTAAAACCGCTCCGTGCAACGGGCCCGTTTTCATTGCATCATTCCCGTTGTTTTTCTGAAATCCCTTTAATCCTCATGTCACTCATGTCTTGGAACAAATCAAATCCCAATGTTTGGTGCTGAAATCCCCTTTTATGTTGTCGTTTAGTTCTCAGTGTTGTTCTTTCATTCCAAATTCGTCTGGTTAAGTTCCAAGTCTTGTTAGCTCAAATCGCCAGATTTGTTGATTCAACCCATATGTTTTGTGAAATCGATGTGTGTGCCGCCTAAATCCATTGTGTTTTTTGTTTAATCCGCAAGTTTGTCGACGAATCTCCAATTTTTGGTGGTTAAAATCACCCATTGTGTTACTTAAATTCGAATTTCTGCTTGTTAAATTCCAATTCAATACAGTTTGTCAAAACTGTATTGTTTATTGCTTACATCCTGATTTTGGGAGATCCCTGGTTTGTGTTGGTTAAATTCCAATTGCTGCTGGTGAACTGGGTATTTAAGTCTTCCAATAAAAACTAAAATTACATCATTAAATCATATTAAATCCATCAATCATTGATTGGTACTTTTTTTGTTGGTTAAATTCTAAATCCATCATTAATTCTGGTTGGTGGTTTGGAACATTAATTTAACCATTGGAACATTAATTATTAAGATGGTTAAACCACCAAACAGATCATTAATTTCTACTTTTTTGTTGGTGGTTGGATAGATCAATCCCTTTGGACAGCCAAGGTTACACCATCTACGCGCGCCTTCGACTGGCCGCGCTGGTGGCGGAGATGAACGGCAGCTGGGCGAAGTGTGGAGCGAAGCGCCTCTCTGACTGGGGGAATATTCACTGTTCTAAATAAATACTGGGAATCTTATTATCCTATAAGAATAATGGGAATGAACTCTATTATATTACAAAATTTAATAGTGGGAAAACACGTTAGTAATAGTAGGAAAACGTTATAATAATAGTGGGACTAATATCCTGCAAATCATTTACTATAATAATGGGAAAAACACTATTTCAGACACTCCTGAAGATCACCACGAACTTCAAAGATTGGATGGTCAATGCTGCAGCTACTTTTGTGGCGAATCTCGGAATGCCGTACGGGGAGAAGTTGATGAAGGCAGTGTCGCATATGGCGGTAGTGAGAATCCCCGAACACCAAGCGCGCGAAATTTTAAAGACTGGGCGCGGGAAACAAGTCATGGTTCATCGAACTGAAGTCAGAGAACCTGGCAATCAGCGACCTGTCTACGCCTATCGGCTGACCAAGGACTGCGGGAATGTGGCCTACAAGGACTTCCTGATGAAAGTCATCAACAGCGATGAGAAGATGAACGAAATCTTTGGACCAACAGAAGCTACCGCAGAGAAGGCCGGTGATGTCATTGAGCTTTGGCTGGGCCTACTCGACGTTGCTGCCATGACAAAAGGGGTAGTGAACATCTTTGACGACGAAGTCAACCCCACTGAGTACCTGAACGGTCTCGAAGCCACAGTCAGATTCTTTGGTAAGACTGCAAGGACTGGAAAGCAAAGAGATTCACCACTACATGTTGTTGGATGCTAGGGATTTTCGACCAATTCATTATGATGTTGGCTAAGCAATACTCAACCATCCCCAAGTTTAGAATAAATGGAAGGTATAAACCATCAAAGTTTGGGTGGTCTATTCTTGCTTAACTAGCGTTAATGGGTCAATAGAGGTGATACTTGTATGGGTGTATCTGAAAATAGGGCTCAATAATGCCTAATAGATGGCTATGTTCATGGGAAAGTGATGATCAACCATCAAACTGTGGAGGTACTAGTACCCTACTTTTAGGATCTTTTAAGATCCACCCATAAAATGGGATAGAATCAGATATATAACTTTTTAACAAACTGCGCAAAGCTTGGTTGAGTCAGCCATTCAAATCAGCTTGTTGGGATTTGACCCACAACAAATAAGGACATAGCATGATGTGCTAATTCAGTGGCGAAACCAACTGGAATGTATCGTTGAAAATATATAGTTTGATGTTTTTTGCTGCCATAATGAGCTAAAAAAAGGGAAGCTGATCAAACCCGTCATCGGAAACAAGCGCTGCAAGCAGCATTTGATGATATTCAGCACCCTGGAAGTTTGGCGCCGGCAGGAGCACCAACGGAATGCCTCGGCGGCCATTAGGTCATTAGCAACAGAGAGGAAAGATGATCCTAAGCTCATCAACATTGGAACTAAGATTCAAGCAGGAGAAGCAAAATTTAACCAAGAAAAAGTCAATGAGGTACTAACTTTTCCCAGCAGCCATTTCTATTGGGGTATAAAGACTATCATTTCCCGCAGAACCTAACGTTCGCCCATGGTGACATAATATATCTCATTTTTCCCATGGATTTAACGCATGTTTCATCCACGGTTCAAACCGCCTTGCAGGGATGGACGGTACACTAGGTGTGGCCCCTCGCCATGCGTGCAACACAAAAATTTGCTTCATGGCTCGTTTCACAACAATTTGCGGCAACAACCCTTCGCAGCCTTCGTGGGGGTCCGTGGAAAAGAAGCGCCGTTTCGTGCGAGAAAACACAGGCTCCGGGCAAACGTCCGGTTCTGCGCGTATCATTTACAGTGGTTGGTAGTTTATAGATACAGGGGAAAAACCAAACATGTTGATGATCTGATGGAGATTAACCACGCATATAGTCAACAATATATCGGATTAATCTGGTTTCACGGTAATTTTCTCAATGAAAATTTGGGTTTAGCCATCAACAATCGGGGGTTCTCTGAGCCAAAACTAGTTGCTAAAACTCGTCGTGGAAATCCATGATTTTGGTGGTTGTTCCATTGAAATAAGCGGTAGATACCGACAAACACGTTGCAGGCCAAAGTTTTCAAAAACACCACATGGACAGTTGGAAAATTGGAGACCCCAAGTTAAGACCGTGTGAATGTGGAAAATGATGTTCAAAAGCATCAAATATGCGCAGTTGCCTTATTTTGAGACAAATCCAAATGGCTATGGTTCAAGCCATTAGGATGCCAAGCGACCCACAAAGCTGTCTTCTTTCGCATTAAGTCATTTGTTTGGGGTTTTAGTACATAAAACGATTCATCATCCACACATTGGGGATTTCTACAGGGGACACTTCAATTCATGACCAGTTCGATAGGTAAATTATGATTCCCAGAAATCTCAGGAGTTCCACCCAGCCCCAACTGCAGGTCACCTTTGGGAGGGAAGACATTCATGTCATGTCCCAATAATGTTTCCTATCTATACATAGGTTATGTGTCATGTATATATATATATATATATATATATATTCATATTCATGTTTATATATATATATGTATATGGTATATGTGTGCGATTGTATCTTGGATATGTGTTTTCTATATTTTTAGGTGCCCCTTAGATCATTTTCGTGAGTCATCAACGGCCCACAAACACCGATCCAGTTGGGTTTGCTGGTGCGTTGGTAACCCATCAGAATCACAGTTGGCTGTATCCAGGTGGGCTGAACCGAACCCCCTTCCATTGTTGTTTCGTCAATCTGCGTTCATATATGGGACACTGCTCAGGGGCCTTTATTTTCAATGGTGTCCTGTAGTCAAATTAAATTTCCAGGCATAGGAAGAGAATCTATGAATCTATCTAGGCTGTTTTAGACTATTGCCAAATCTAATTGCCGGATTGTGATTTTTGTTTCTTAAATCCGACTGTCTGTTTCTCAAATCCTGATGTGTTCTGTCAAATCCCCTGTTTTGTACATGTCAATTATCATTGGTGTTTCTGCTTCTGAAAAGTTTAGGTGCCACTATACCTTAGTATATACTTAAAGACTATCAGTATGTGTGTGTGTATATATATATATATACGTATTGTTTATGCTAAGTTTCGATATGGTACGAGAGGGGTTTGCCATTTTCTTCATGGCCTAACTGGAGGTCATGACTCGGAAGATCCGGAAGTACAGGTCCGGCCCGTCAAAAAAACTAGGAAAATGGTCCAACATTGGCCAACGATTGGGGGTTAACCATCAAAGACAAGGATCACATGCGAAAATGGGCTAAATGTGGATATGACCCAAAGATTTCATGATACCAAAAAAAGGAGAGAATCACAGAATTTGGTGTTCTTCTTTTTCGGCAAGAATAAGAAGTACATGTTCATGACAGTATGTAAGAACAAAGAATTCAAAATGAATCATGAACCAATCATACCGGTGGAAAACCCCGAAAAATAAAAACGGGTTGAATCATGAAAAATCGAGCGTTTTATCATCAACAATTGGGATTTGACCATTAAGCAGAAGGCTAATTATAAGCCAACCATAATCATAATGCCAGAAATTGTGGGATTGAGGAAAACCCTTGGATGGACAGTTTCACACCATAATCTTTTGCTATTATCAGGCGTTTATGAATGAGCCAAAATTGATGCCCTAGTTTGGTCAATATGCCACCTGGAAAGACTTGCAGTCCACCTTTCAGACACAACCGCATGTTCTTGTCCGTATTAGAGGGCCTGCAAGGAGAACGATGTGTTTGCGCAAGTAAAGCCGATAGTTGAACACAGCGAGTTTGTCAACTATGATCAGGCGCTATCGAGCAAAAACATGGCAAGCATTGACAGTGTCCTGTGCTCAGTCCTGCCGACACTATGGAGAGCAACCATGTACGATTCGGCCTCGCAGGAGCCAGCCATTGCTGTCTTCCGCTCCATCTATGAGTTTGTTCACTTTCGAGCAATGCTTGAGCTGCACGCTGCAAGAGCCAAGCGCCACGGAGCTCTTGCCTGCGCGGCGTGCAGCTCCGGTGCAGGGCGGCTAGCAACAACTGCGATGCTCTGGTCGACCGAGCCAGCTACTGACGAGACTAAAAAAACATGTAATATATTTGCAGAGTATTCAAGATTGGACATCGCTAAGACATTTTACCATATTTTACCAAGGTCAGGTGGCATTTTGATTAGAAAAAATTCCACATTGGGATGGTTTATACTGCCGATTTTCTGATAAAGTTGGAAGTTCTCCCATATCTGGTTTCGATCTGTTTTTCCATACCTGGGATCATGATCTGACAAAAATCTTGAAAATCTTGGGTGTTGACAGCACCAAGTGATCAAGCTGAATCAAGCTCATAATCCCTATTCTATAGTCAGTCGCATGTTTTGCTTTTTTAATCCACATAAGTGGGATCCAGTGGCTATGGGAAGTTCCAGCAACGCCAGGGCCTCCTCTTCTTCAGCATTTTGCCCGGCGGCGAAACCCACCCCGACGTCGATCAGTCGCCGCCGGCGACGCTGGAGACACCGGGAGGCGCCGAAAGATCGTGGCGCAAAATGGGGCGGTTGAACCATCAAAATGAGGAAAATTCACCACCAAAAAATGGACCTTTAGCTTTGAATCAATTGAATCCCTATTTCAATTCGATAATTCGGATGTTGGGGTGATTTCCCCCCAATCAAACATTGGGAAGTGAAATGAAATTAAAGGTAGCAAATTCAGGAAATAGTTTCAACCCTTCAACATTAATCAAATTGGTGTCCAAGAAAACTAGGGCAACCACCCCCAACTGTTTCGGTTTCCCCCTTTAAAAAGGAGGAAAAACTTAGATGATGACGTGGGGGTCCTCCATTCGAGAACCCATTTCCAAGGGTTTCTACAATTTCTACCTGTTGATCATCCCAGTCCAATGGTGGGTCCCTATATTTTTGTAAGCAACCCAGCTGTTTGAAAGTCACTTCATTGATCCTTTTGGGGGTGACATCCCACGGAACACTCGGGAACATCAGCATTTTTGCAAATATGAAACAATGATCACCTCTCTTAAAGACTCTTACTGGATGATTTCTCCCCAAAAAAACCGATGGGTTCCTTTCTCTTCAGAAGGTCACCTTCACCCCGGTAAGTGAACTAAGCCACCCACAGCACAGCTGGGCTTGAAATCCTCTGGTGGAAGTCCGTGGAGACGATGAGAAAGCAGAAGTCCAGTTTCTAACCAGTTCCAAGCCAGCACAAAGGTATACAGATAGGTAGGTATACCCCTTTTTTCCACATCAAAATCTTCCACTTAGACAAGTTTTATATTCGTTGAAGGGAACATGTTAACCGGAAAGCGCCATGATCTGGGAAGATGTTCCCAACAAAACCAATCCATCAACGGAATCCCATGCCATCCCTTGTCCATGGAGTATTCTCTATGGCTTGAAAGAAACGTGCCAGGCATGGGCCCCATGAAATCCCAGCTTACATCTGGAAAAATACTCAGTTCAAATTCAGAGCCAGGTAGAAGAAACATATAGTTTTTTCATATGTGTTCCAGATTTTTTTCTACCATCTTTTGTTTGATAGTTAATCCCTGATTGTTGCAGCTAGACCCCAGCTGCTGCTTGTCAAATTCGGTGCGAATCCGTTTTGCCGATGACGTCCCCTGGTTTACCAATGTTTATCATCATTTCCCATGGTGTATAATATGTCAATGAGCAGTATTTCCATTTAAGAAACCCACCATTTCTGCTAACTCCGATAGTTTTTTGGTTGAATCCCTTCTTTTTTTGGTGGTAAAGTTAGATTCTTTTTGAATTAGCTCGTCCCTTTGTGTGGCTTATATCTTATTGTTAGTCATATTCCCTACTTGTTGGTGTCACATCCCATTATGTCATCATCATCCCTCCTTAGATTGCCATGGTCAAAGGGAAAGCCTCTATTGTCTGAAAATTGTGTATACCCCAACTGCTGTTTGAATAGGACATATGATGATAAACCATGGGAAATCGTGAGTTGTCCCCTATTTTTTCATGCGAACCCATATGTTTAATGGTTAGAGATTCCAATATCTCCCAATTGTTGGTTATGTTATATTATCTATGTCATATGATATCTCCACTATATCATGTATCATATAATATCTCCACGTCCGCATAGTATCCCATTAGATCCCCATTTGATGGGGAGTTCACGGCCTTGAAAACAGTGGCTTGGCCTTATTCTTGCTTGTAAAATATGTCCCAGTACATCCTCACTACCATCTGGTTATTTAACATAGCCATGGAAAATAACCATTTTTAATAGGTAAACCATCTATAAATGGGCCATTTTCCATGGCTATGTTAAATAACCAGAGGGTATACCATTTGAAGTCTCCATTAGATCCCCTTTTGTTCAAGTTTCATAGTCGGGACAGCGGGATCTCCCAGGTGTTGGTCATACTGTATATTCATATTATGCCATATCATATTTCCACGATGTCATATCATATCTCCCCTAAATCATAGCATTGTCATATCGTATCGCCATACATGCAAGGTGGTGCCCTGTTTTATAACCCACATTAACTAGTTCGATATGTATCACACAAACGGTTGAAAACTTGGAGTTATAAACCAACTTAGCTAGCTATTGGAGTTATAACCATCCCCAAGATCATCCTAAATGGCTTGTATAAGCCATTCCCAAATGCTAGTAGGTTGATTTTTGAGTTATATTCCCATTAAGAATCCTATTAAAAATCTCTATACAATCCCATTAATGTGGGTAAAACAATGCCATGAACCAGCCATTTGGGGCAAACATACCACATATATTTATGGTGACTGGGGGATGATTATAATTATATATACATATACATATCCATGTTATCCCATTATATCATCTAGGATTTGGCCCCCCAGCTAAAAGTTGGTTTATAACCCCATCTAAATATAGTTATTTGCGTATCATACACGATTGTTATAGTTATTTGCACCAACTTAGCTAACGAACTGGGGCCCCATCCTGTCCCATTATATCATTATCCCATATTATAACCATATTATAACCATAATATCCCGTTATACAATCCCATTATATGGCTATCATCCATTATCCCATCATTATATCCCAATGTATAACCATATTATCCCATTTTATCCCTATATATATAATATATATCCATATTATCACAATATATATCCATATTATCCCATTATATCCATATTGTCTCCATCTTGTGTCCCCTTGTCTCTCCATGGTCCACTGCTTTCCGTGAAAGGCTCCGCGGGCAGCTCTGTTGCCGTCCGCGCTGCGCGTGGCTTGGGGCATGGCCTCGCTCGACAGGTTCAGCGAAGATTCCCGGGGGGAAACGCTGGGGGAACTGAAGCAAAATGGATGGCTTTACCAACAGGAAGAGGGATTTGTAGGGAAATCTAAAAAACGGGATATAATGGGATATATATATATAATGGGATACTGGTTGGTGGTTTGGAACATGAATTTTATTTTTCCATATATTGAGAATTTCATAATCCCAACTGACTTGCATATTTTTCAGAGGGGTTGAAACCACCAACCAGGATATGTTCTGATAGTGGTGAATGATCAGGATCTTTATTATCTACTGGTATATGGATGAAGCTGGGATTTATTCATTAAAAAAAAACAATGGGATTTATGGAGGTTATATGGAGTAACTTCAGCAAAATGGTGTTTTAACCAGCAACAACAATAAGGATTTATAGGGATATGATTTATGATATACTGGTGTATGATGGAAAAATATCATGGTGACTCATGGTGATTCATGGTGATTATTATGAATCAACTCAAAACCGGGGGGGGCAGGTTGCAACTGACACACCAAATAATGTGATGATATGTTTGATAATAGTGATATCGGAATTTTGGATGAATCATTGTGATTGATTTTGGATAATGTTCTGGATGGTAGCCCAGAATCTGCTGGTTATGTAAAAACATTTTTTCCCATGAAAATATCCTGGTTGGTTTGCTCCATCTTCAGACACACCCAAATAACATTGGATAGTTGTTTCTTGCAATGGTGTGTACGATGTTATCACCAATATAGTAAAAGCACGGATATTGGTTGATATTTATCATAGCTAAAATCAATATAGCTATAGGAGGATTGATGATTGATAATCAACCACCATCCATAGCTATAGGCTATAGGATGTCATTCGATTCTGGCGACGGGTCCGCCTCAAAAGAGACTTTTTTGAGAAGTTGCCAAGTAGGTGAGTGGTTTGTCAACACCCACCCCTATTTCCATTGGTCAGACCTACAAGGGTAATTGAATGTTCCACGAAATGGTAGTTTTCAACATCACAAGACAAATTGTTTCTGCGCAGAGTTTCATACTGATTGCATCGACATGATATTCACAGCCAAAGATTATTCTTGTTGATTTACTGTAGCTACTATGAAAATCGCAGTTTGTGTGTCTGTGTGATTCATGACCACTTTAATTTCCACACAACTACATGATATATAACATTATCGAAGGAAGTTTAGAAGTCAAACTTCCGACAATATGGAGAGATGAAAAGCAGAGCAGGGCAGAGGCAGAGAGAAGAGGAAGATTAGAAGAGAGAAGATCAGAAGAGAAAGAGTAAGAAGACAGAAGATACAGCTGCGCGAAAAGGTAGGAAAGTCGCGAAACACTGTGTTTTTCCAATGATTTGTGGCTCCGGAGGGTCGAAAAGTAGGCTCGCTAAAGCGGCGGGTGCGGGGCCAGCTGGCCAGACGAGAGATGAAAAATTGCACGCCGTTGTGGTCCGAAGCACATTCTGAAGTCAAAATGTACAAAACACACCATTCTCGGACCACTTTTGGAAGTTGAGATGTCGAAAAAGTGCACGCCGTTGTGGCGCGAAGCACATTTCGAAGTGAAAATGTACAAAACACACCAGCTCCGGACCACTTTTGGAAGTTCAGATGTCAAAAAAGTGCACGCCGTTGTGGCGCGAAGCACCTTTCCAAGTCAAAATGTACAAAACACCGCAGCTCCGGACCACTTTTGGAAGTTGTGATGTCGAAAAAGTGCACGCCGTTGTGGCGCGAAGCACATTTTCAAGTCAAAAGTGTTAAAAACTGACGGTCTCGGACCACTTTTGGAGGTTCAGATGTCGAAAAAGTGTCGAAAAAGTGCACGCCGTCGTGGCGCGAAGCACATTTGGAAGTCAAAAGTGTAAAAAACTGAGGGTTTTGAGCCTTTTTTGACGTGCTGATGTCGAAAAAGTAGACACTGATTAACTTAACTAACTTGACTAACTAACTTAACTACCCTAACTTCGACGACAACAGCAACAACAACAACAACAACAAGACTACAACTACAACTACAATAGATCGATAGATGGAGAGATAGATAGATAGATAGATACATACATAGATACATACATAGATACATACATAGATACATAGATACATAGATACATAGATACATAGATACATAGATAGATAGATAGATAGATAGGTAGATAGGTAGATAGGTAGATAGGTAGATAGGTAGATAGGTAGACAGATAGACAGATAGACAGATAGACAGATAGACAGATAGACAGATAGACAGATAGACAGATAGACAGATAGACAGACAGACAGACAGATAGATAGATAGATAGATACATCGATCGATGCAAAGATCGATACATGGAGAGCTAGATAGATACATAGAGAGATAGATAGATAGACGGAGAGATAGATAGAGAGAGAGATAGATAGACAGGTCGATAGATAGATAGATAGATCGATAGGTAGGTAGGTAGACAGGCAGAGAAAGAGAGAGAAAGAGTGAGAGAGATCAAGCACCTTTCGGTCCATCAGTGGATTCGCTCTGCCATCCCTGATTCACAACAACCAACCTCTCCTATAGGTTTCCTATTTTTGAAACTTCCGCCACCGCCTTGTGCGGTACTACTGGTATAGCCATGATAATCACATATAATCACAGTTGGTTTTTATAAACAACTACATGATAGCCATGATAATCACAGTTGGTTAATCACCATTTTAATAGGTAAATCATCTACAAGAATCAGTGATTTTCCATATCTATGTTAGTTTACTGGAGGGAGTTTACCATGCAACGCAGTTGGTTAATACTAGCTATCACAATTGGTTTTATACTAAAAACCTATTATAATCATAAAAACATCATGATTTATTTACTCATCCAAATGGTTGTAACCCATTAAATCATCATTAAATCACCATTTATAATGGTTAAATCCCATTAAATCCCACACCATTAAATCACCATTAATCACCATTAACCTAACTGTTTTTCAATGGTTTTAGTGACTCGATTGGGAAACCAGGTGCTTCAACGCTCCACCGGCTGGCGATCCGCCTCAGCGGGGGGTCCCGGAGTGAGTTCAGGTAGTGACCAGAAAAAATGGGTCGATGTGTGGTCGATTTCACCATGAAAAAAGGGCAGTTTTAAGCCCTAGAATTTGGGGATATCATAGCAAAAATCATTGATTAATGATGTTTTAATATGTTTTAAGCACTAGAATTTGATATATCATGGATAAAATATGATTGGTATACCTAGTTATACCTAGTTATGGGAATATCCTCAAGTTACATGTCAATGGATTGGAACCCCCATATTTTATGATGGTTTCCGGGTTTGATTTTAAGCCAATCCAACGAAATATGGGAGTTTTAACCACTAGAATTTGGAATATCATATGATATCATTGATAAATGATGATTGTTGTGAGCTATTTCATTGGGGAGATTGGACCACATCATGTGAATAGGGTGGGTTCATCATTTAAAAATAGTAGGGATTATATATGGATAAACGATGATTGATTGGCTTACCGATCAGACCACTGTACCTGGTTTATTGGGGATGGTCATCATCCACTATGGGAAGCCTTCAAGGCAGGTTTAGGTCACACTGCTGGGAAACCAACCAGTGAATGCTGAGGGCTTAATTAACATTACCAGATGTAATCATCCATACTCATCCCTTACATGGGGTTGACTAAATCGCCAACAAAATAAGGATTCTCAACGAGACGCAATACTGGGGACAGCAAGACGAAATATGCCACCACCAAGGCTTACAGCAAATCCAGGCGTTCAAATCATCCGCTTTGCGGCGTCATTTTGACACGTTGTTTCTGAAAGTAAGGAAACCTTTGTAGCGGTCCTCCAATAGGTTTGTCTGAAAATATGGTACCCAAAAAAAAACAGTAGTTGAAATTTTTTGTTGCATCAATTGGTTGCATCTCCGGAGTTCGTTGATATCCCTAATAGACATGTTTTCCAGTTGTGTCTCTCGTGATACAATCTCCATTCGGTTTCATTGCACAATTTTGATTGCTTCCATCCCATCTTGCGGGTTAAGTACCTGCATTTCTGTCGAACAAGCCTAGTTGCGCTACCATTGTTCAGGGTTTCAAACCGGTTCATCTATCCCCTTTCGCACACTGTTTCAAGACCTTCTTTGAAATCCTCGTAATAATTCACCAAGCTGACAGCCTGTCAATTCGCCTCTCCATGTTGCTTCATATCCCCATATCTATGTTGCAAAAAATAGCCATGCTCGTTGGGATCCCACTTTAGTTGGTTGATATCCCCATGTTTGTTTGTGAAGTTTCAGGGTTTTCCCATCATATCCCCAAGCTCATTGCTGGAAACACACCTTTCTGTTGTGTCCCGTACCCTCTGGTAAACGTTTACAAAGAACTATGGAAAATCACCAGGTTCAAGTTCGGTAAATCAACGAAGTTTCTATGGACCATTTTCAATGGCAAACTGTAAACGTTTATCAGAGGTTATCACTATTATTAAACATATCATCACATTATTTGCTGTGCCAGTTGCAACCTGCCCCATTTTGAGTTGATATATAATAATCACCATGAATCACCATGATATTTTTCCATCATACACCAGTATATCATAGTTTTTTTAGGGTATCTGATTTATTGAAGCCACATTTTTCTCAGGACCTCTACGATTTGGCGGCAGCGATTTGTTCGGAGCGGGAATCTGAGGAGGCGGACCATGCAAAATGGGTCAAACCGATGGCACCTTTTTTGAACTGTAAAATAGCTGGTACATGGACGATCATGGACCTTCCCACTAAAATTGACGATGATAGGTTTTGACCCATTATATATATATCTATCTATCTATCTATCTATCTGTCTGTCTATCACTGTAGATATATACATATGTATATATATATACTGTATGTATGTATATATATATTTATATACAGTATGTATGTGTATATATATATATATACATATTGATAGACTAGGATATAGCAAGGCTCTTTTAGGACGTATATGACATATTCCTTGTCCGCCAGGCAGGACCTCAGACCTGCACAGTTCAGAGGCGTGACTTTTGTCAAAAGCTATGGAAAACCATAGGAAAACTAGATATAAACCACATAAACTGAGAAAACATGGGAAAACCCATAGTAAGGTCAATCTTAGATGGCTAGAAACTAATCCGAACTAGTCTTGGATGGTATCAAATGGGATTCTCTACGTTCACCAGATAAGAATTTCATTCTTTGCAGGGTATGTAAGGTCGGCCATGATGGTAATAATGATATACTGGTTGGTGATTTGGAACATTTTTTATTTTCCCCAATAGTTGGGATGATGACCCAATCTGACTTTCATATTTTTCAGGGGGGTGGCTCAACCACCAATTAGTATACGTATGGTGATTATAGCACTGGCTGGAGACATGTGCAAGATCAGGACATCACGGGAAAACAGTTGGTATGTGTTGATGGGCTACTGATGTGTTCAATGGGAGAGAAGTGCGAAAAACGAGATGAGATATGTCTGATCCTATATATTCATATATAATATAAATCATGGACATGGATGCCAAGAACAGAAAAATGTGTTGACCAACAATGATGGTGATTCAACAAATAAAGAATTGGAGTTAGCAAGAGAAACATGAGTTTAATCAATGGAAATGAGGTTTGAACCAACTAAGCTTGGGGTTGGACAAAAATGTTATATCAATACAGAAGCACGATCCTGGGGATTCGACAACAGACACCATTACAGGACTAGAGGGGGGCATGTCTGTTGGCAAGCGCAATCAGCGGTTCATGTGTCAGCCTGAGGTTAGGTATCCCGACACCTCAAAACAGTGCAAGCGTTAATGCTTTGCGGGGCATAGATGTGTATCGATACGGAGGAGGATCATCGACCCATGGCTTTCGTGTGCTTTTCTTAGCAATGGTGTTTGGCGTTTTGCAAAGTACCCTTCAAAGTAGCGATGTCAAACGCATGTCAGGTTGCCCTCCAGTTAATTGACATAGATATGAAAAATCCACCAGTTGCAAATTAGTCTCCGAACTGGAAGTCGTTGATTTTCCATATCGTTTTTTCACTTATCTTCAGGCAATCGAACGTGGCAATAGAAAATCGCCCATGTTTAGATAATGTTCCCAGCGATAAATCTCCAGTGGATTTCCCAGCCACGTATGATGACACTGGAGACTAACCCATTACCTATCCCATTAACCATTACTAACCGAACATTAAGCCATATTGACCACTATTTACCACTATTGAATTGAACATGGTAGTTATTGGGGTTGACCCATCAACAACCAACCCAAGTGTCCCATGGGTCGCTCACCAGTCGCGGACCATGGACCCTTGGCCCAGCCATGCGCAGGGCACAACTGCTGTTTCAAACGTCACGTTCGAAGCATCCAGTCAGGGCAACCAAGGGGGGAAACCCCGAAAACCCAAATGGTGATTAATAGTGGTTAAATAGTAATTATCATGGATTTGGTAGTAATTCATGGTGGTTTGTTTGGAGTTTGCTGAGTCGATGATAACGGGAAGTTCCTGCCGCAAATCCACCGTTACCCTCCAGCAATGACCAACAGATTGCGAATGGAAGCCATGGCCAATGATTAGTTCGAACATGCGTGGATTGGCCAATAGTTTTTCTGGTTAAGAATAAAACCAACCACCAAGAATAGTGGCTAAGGTTGCTTATGCTTAACCAAAGACCTGGAATTAAATTAGCTAGTAACTAGCTTATGATAAAACCGATGATTGATGGTGTTTCAAAATCTGGAGGGTTGAGCAATTGACCAGCAATTCATGGCTGATATTGGCGATATAATCCATCCACTGGGAAACCCCAGTGGATGGATAGGGCCGTTTTTTCAAAGAAATCTCCAGCGACATAGGGATTGAAGTGGCAAAAAATGGGCATGTAGCTGGTACTGGGGAAATCAACTGGATGGATGGTTTAGTACTTCAATCTTTGGCCGTCCTTGCCTTTGTCAGCGAACCGGCAATGTTGACAGTGCGGATGGGAATTTCCCCGTCGATGGTGCATAAATATCCTCCCTAGTTTCATCGGCCAGGATGTTGTATTGACATGATTTGATATGACTCACATCATCCAAGCGGCCAAAATCGTTTCAGAAGGCCCTCGCTGCCATACGTCAAAATAGACTGTTTGGAAGGGTCTTTGTCCGCCGTTGAAATGCAAATGTCACGGCCATCTCGCTGTCGGTATGTATAATGAGGGTACCCTAAGTCATCCATTTCAATGCAACTTTCGATTAATGCAAAACGCGGCGTGCGCAGTTTTGTTCAAATACATGCACTATGGAAGCAATCGGCACGACGAATGGTTGCTGATTTGCCCGCAAGGCAAACAAGAGTTTCGAAAAGCGAAGCGAGGTCATCGTGCATATGGGTCCTGTGGTGCTTGGCATGTTGATGACGATAACCTCATGCTGACCGGGTGGGCATGTCGCGAAGGTGCCAAAAAACACGATCTAACCTTCAAGAAGACCACAACAAATTGGGAGAATGGACGTCCACAACGGAAAACGTGACACGCCACCTCAAAATGATGGGCTGGTGTCCCTTCGTTGATGATTTGTGATGTGCCACACGAAGATCGTGCTTTGCTCGCGTTGGCGGATTCAACAGAGCAAGTGGTCGAGGCATTTTCCAGTTGGTTCAATCTACAGATTTCCCCATCATTTCGGCATCATTTCCGCTTTTCCCCATAAAATCCATTACCCTCTGGTAATTTGTAACATAGCTATTGAAAATGGCCATTTAGTTCATGGATTTACCTATTAAAAATGGTGATTTTCCATAGTTGTGTTAGTTTACCCACCATTTCCCCACCATTTCCCCATGTTTTTTCCCCGCGTCACGGTCCGCGAGGTGATTCTGTTGCTCCTGGCCTTGGGCGCCTTAGCGCCTCTGCTGGTGGCCCTCGCAGCTGGACCGAAGACCGATCGGAGAAAACCTTGGCATTTTCCCAATGACTGGGTAGAACGATGGGTCTATAACAACTGGTTGGTGGTTTGGAACCTGAATTTTATGACTTTCCATTCAGTTGGGAATCATAATCCCAACTGATTTTCATATTTTACGAAACCTCCATATGGGTATATAACAAAGATGCTGGGATTTTAGCTACTAGCTATAGGGATGATCTATCATAGTAATAGTAATATAGTTTGTGAAAATACCCAGGATCATACCACTAGCACTGGACATGAGGACATTCCATCATAACTGTGATTGCCACTTGTATCCGACATATCCACTACATCTGATCCGCAGGGCGCCCTTTCGAGGCACAAAAGAGGTGCTATCAGCCAGCACGCCGTTGCTAGGTTTTTGATGGTAGGCGGAGCCCTTCCGTGAGGGGTCTTTGCCTAGCGCTTTGCCTGCGCTTCCTCCGCGCCTGTTTCCTTCGCTGGTTGCAGACGGCGACAACTGGCCTTTGCAGCACCCGCTCTTTGGGGCCGGTGCTTGGACAAGCACTACTTGATCTGGGACTTCACCAAAAGGTGTCTTGGAAATGTCGCGACTGGAAACCGACCGTCATGGTGTTCCCCAGTTTAGCGGCGACCCAGAGATGTTTGAAGAGTACCAGGAAAGAGCATGGGATTTATGGCATGGTAGAGAGGGTCAAGAAAGTCTTCAGCTTGCAACAGCGGTACACCTTAGAGCTGGGTTGAGTGGTGCCGCCTATGAAGCTACTAGGAAGATTGAGCATTCAAAGATGAAAACGAAAGATGAAAAAGGGGTTCCAACTGATGAAGGGTTGCGTCACTTTCTTGCAGTCCTGAAAACAGCCATAGCAGCAGTTGAACCTGTCAAAGTGAATGAACTGTTCCTCACTGCCTTCTACAGTTCCCAAGTCTGGCGCCGACCTGCTGAGAGCATGCAGCAGTACATCGTGCGCAGAGAGCAGGACTTTAGGCGTTTGGAAGAGATGAGCAAAGACACGCATGTGAGCACAAACTTGCGTGCCATGATGTTGCTCATCTTCAGTGGTTTAGATCACAAAGAACAAGTCAGTGTTTTGAGTTCAGTTGGAAATGAATACAACTTTGAAAAGATTTCACATGCCTTGCGGTTGCAGTTTCCACAAGCCTCTGGAAAGCCTGTTGTCAGAAGGGATTACCTTGGCTGTGGACGTCAGCCTCAACCCAATCGTGACTCCGGCATCTTGTTCAAGCCGAAGGCATGGCGTCAGATGAACTCAAAGGGCCGTGGCCGTGGTCACCAATCTTTCACCGCCGATGAGGTCTTGGAGACTGGCGATGATGATGGCGACTATGAGGGCGACGAGACCTATCACGAGGACATTGACGCTGACGAGCACTATGAGCCTCCGACCTATGATGGTGCTGAGTCCTTTTGGGAGGATGAAACCTTTGACACCTTGGTCCAGGACATGCCTGACCTTGATGAGAATCCAGAGATTGCCGACGCTTTGGCAACAGTCATGCAGTACAAGAAAAAGGGCAAGGGCAAGGGAAAGCAAAAGGGGCCAGCCGGATCCTCTTCTACGCAGTCTTTTCCTTTCCGTGCCAGTGGTGACATCTCCTTTGACAAGAACAAGGAGGCCAGAAACAACGCAGTGAAGTTTCTCAAATCCGTGACAACATGCACCAGTTGCCATCAACGTGGACACTGGACAGGAGATGATGCCTGTCCCAACAAGAAGAAGAACAAGGGTGCTTCTTCGAACTCTCCCAAGAAGAAGCCACATGAGAAGAAGACCACGTTTTTCGTTTTGCATGACAGTTTGGAATCCGACGATGAGAAGGAGACTTGCCTCGCCTTTGCCGTTGGGGACAAGTCCACCGTTTCCAAGAATGATCTAGCTGAACAGAATGCCAAGGTCCTTAAGGCCTTTGCGACTCAGAACACCTTCCACGTTTCTGAGAATGCCGACATGACCCTGAATGCCAACGCGATTGAGAATGCCAGCGTGCCACAGAATGCCTTCCTGACTGAGTATGCCGACCTTGCCCAGTATGACGGCCTGACTCAGTATACCAACTCTTATCAGAATGACATGAGCCGTGCGCTGCAGCCCAATTTGAATGAGCCCAATGCCGTGACCGCACAGATGCCTGTTCCTCCAGCAGGCAGCCCCCCTTTTGAGGCTGGATCCAACGTCACAAAGAATGCCAGCGCACATGGAGTTTGTTTCACTTCCTTTGATTCTTCTGTACTGATGGTGTTGAAGGACACCAAACTTTGCGCCCACTCAAGTTATCTTGGCGGAGATGAACGTGAATACCACCGTGGAGCAAATGGCCACACACGTCATGTGAGCTGCAAGAACAAGGACTGCGATTGCACAGTGATTTCTGGCCGTCGCAAAGATGGCGAGCAGATGTGGCGATACCTTGTTCAGATTGCCCTTTGTACAAAGTGGGGCAGTGCTGCTCGATCCCGTGAGCTTTTTGCCAGCGTTTGCCGTGAAAGAGACAAAGCCTTGCATGACCGTGAACAGCGAGCGGCCTTGCGACCTCCTCCCGGTTATCCTGGTCAAGCAGCCTCTTCTCCAGGTTCCTCACCTTCACCCAAGTCTGTTGACTGGAATTTGGTTGGTGAACAAGCCTCTTCCACTGGCGCTGATGGCAGCTCAAGGACAGCCAAGATTGTCCGTGATCGAGAACCTCGCTTTTGGGCCTATGGTGTGCTGATTAAGCCAACAATTGACCTTCCTGATTTTCCCCTTCTTGCGGATGAGGACCAGGATGTTCTTCAGCCACTGCCATGCGACATGACTTTGTGTGGTCCAGAAACGCCCTTTGAGGGGTACAGCTATGTTCAAGTTGCATCGAGCCCAGAGGCATCTGCATTTTGCCAGCAAATCTTGCAAGCTGCCCTGGAAAATCAGCCTTTGGTTCCCGAGCTCTATCGGCTCTCATTCTACCTGTTCGGCAGGTGCAAGTTGCTTCATTCTGCCGTGACCCGGATGTGGAAGTCAGGTGAAGTTCGTCCTGCAAAGCGGCCTTCAAATCCTGATGAGATGATTGCGCACCGGTGCATCCGGGTGCCACTTTGCTTCAACATCCAACATCCGGAGATCGTTCAGGTTCATGACTTTGAAGTTCTGATGACCAATGATGACAGTCGTCATGGCGATCGTTTGGACTTGGACTCTTTTGCCTCCACTCCACAAGATCCTCCCGGGTTGGCCATTTTGGACTCTGGCTGTACTCGAACCATGCACGGGAAGGATTGGGCGGAAGCTTTTGAGCTTGAGCTCGGCAAACTTGGACTTTCATGCCGAAGACGCCCCAAACACCAATCTTTTCGTGGAGTTGGTGGCCAGATTGCCAGCGACACTGTCAAGGTATTTCCTGTCGGAATTCATGGAGTCAATGGAGAACTCCACAGCGCTGAAGCATCAGGAGCTCTTCCTCTTCTCCTCTCACGCCCTTTCATGGAAGAGTTGCAGACCGTCATTGATGTTGGGGCCCGAACTGTTTCATTCAAGAAGCTGGGCATTGATGGACTTCCTTTGATTCGAACGGCCAAGGGTCACCTTGCCATCAGCCTTTTGGATTTTGATTTGGCTGCCTTCGAAGACACAGAAAGCCCAGTGAATGCCCCTGAGCAGCTCCACACCGAGGATCACCTGGACTTTGATCCTGCTGCTCTGGTCGATCATGACCAACCTCATGACTTTGGCGGCATGAACCCTGATGATTACTTTGACATGATGGCCGACCTTGACATGTGGCGCCAAGAAGCTACCAGCATCCAAGCAGCCATCGACAGTGGCGAGATCGTTCTTCCTCAACAAGATGAAGGTCTCATGTGCGAGGATGCCAACTACCAGTTTGACCATCCTGAGCAGTTCATCGTGCGGAAGGCCACCAACAAGAAGAGCAAGAAGTTCGAGTCATGGCAGAACAACTTGGACGGTGAAGACTGGCTTCGCCAACGAGTTCTCACCGGCAAGTACAAGAAAGTGTCCAACAAGCCGCCTTACGGCAAAACTTGGATGAAACAGTTGTTTGCTGGTCAGATGGGCCTATCACTTTTGGCCATCTTCTATGGACTTTCTATCGGCGTCCCCCTGGACGTGACCAGCTCTGATTGGGATGCATCAACATCCAAGGGATACAAACAAGTTTGCCATGATTTGCTCTATGAGGACCCCTTCCTGACCGTGATCACCCAACCTTGCGGTCCATGGGGAAATTGGTCGCGCTTCAACTTGGCACGTGGTGGCAAGTCGATGCTCACTGTCTTGGAGCTACGTGAAGCAGGACGTCCCATCCTGCGACTGGTCAACAAGGTTGTCAAAGACCGCGTCAAAGCCAATCGGCATGTCTTTGTCGAACAACCACTTGGCTCACAATGGCTAGAAGAAGAAGAACTTGCTGATGTTGTCCAGCTGTTGCAGAACGGCGATTTGGTTTCCATACGTGTTGATGGATGTCAAGTTGGTTACAAAGATCGAGAAAGCGGGTTAGCCCACTTCAAACCATCCATCTACATCACTTCTCTCCTTGTAGCAGAATCCATTTTCAATGGCTGTCGTTGTGATGGGCAACATGCACATGAACCTCTCGAGGGAAACAACAAGTTTGGCTCACGCACACTTCAAGCTTCTGAATGGCCTGAACAGTTGAACGATCTTGTGATCCAGGCCATGATCCAGCAAGCCTCTGCAGAAAGCAGTGCTGTGTGCGGTGCTCATGAGATGTTTCCTGCCGAAGTACGACCAGCTGAACAACCACTTCAAGGGAGATCTCCCAAACGACATAGAAGGGCAGGACGGGTTACACAACTTGTTGGACAATATGCAGCTCCACCCGTCTATGTGCGTCCTCAACTGCCTCTACAACCTGAGGTTCAACAGCCTCTTGAAGATCAGCAACTTCTTCCAGACCAACCTCAACTTGATGATGCTTCCGTGCGAGCCATTCAGGCTTCAGCCTTGGACCCAGTGCTCAACATCACTGAGGCTGAGCGTCGACGAAGATGGCTCACCATTTCCCCAGAGATCAGAAAGATCCTGCGAGATCTACATGTTCAGTTTGGACACCCCACCAACACAACCTTGCAGAGAATCCTTCGACGTCAAGGAGCTCTACCAGAAGCTATCGATGGAGCAGATCTTTTGAGCTGTGATTCGTGTGGCGACAGCATTCGAAGGAGAAGACCTAAGCCAGTTAGGCTTCCAGGTCGCTACGTTTTCAACCATCACTTGCTCATCGACGTCTTCTACGGCAAGGACGTTGTTGGTGAATCTTTTGCCTTCCTGAACATCATTGATGATGCCACAGGCTATCAGGTTGTTTCATGTCTTGGCCAAGCTCGAGGACCACCTGCATCAAAAGCCGTGCTCAGGCATTTTCTTACTGTCTGGAGCTCATGGGCTGGCCTTCCATATTCTGCACAAGTTGACCGAGGCAAGGAGTATCTTGCCTACTTCAGTGACTACCTCAAGACCTACGGAGTTGAGCAGGAGACAGTTCCTTTGGAAGCTCCATGGCAAAATGGAAAAGTTGAACGTGCAGGTGCCCTATGGAAGGAGATCCTCTACAAGACTGTTCAAGAGATGCAGTTGCAGGGCTTGGATGACATGATTTTGGCCACAACCATCATCACCCAGTGCCGCAACTCCTTTCCGCGGCCAAATGGGTACTCGCCCTCACAATGGGTTCTTGGACTTTCAGAAGTGCGAGTGCCTGGCTCACTTTTGGATGATGGTGAAGCTCAACGGCTTGAGTTGCTTGAAGCGGCTGATGATCCAACATCAGCATTTGCAAGGTCCTTGGGCATTCGTGAAAGTGCCCGAGTCGCTCAGGTCAGACTCGACAATGATGCACGAGTCAGAAGGGCTTTGCTTCACAAGTCCACTCCAACACGTGGACCATACCCTGTGGGCAGCTATGTCTATTTTTATCGACTTCAAGCACCTCCCACTGGACAAGCGCGAGCTCAGGCTCGCAACTTTCGCTGGTTTGGTCCAGCGAGGGTCATTGGAGTTGAGACCCGGAACCAGCGGAGAGCTGAGGATGTGGAATTTGCCACCGAGGGTGGCCAGCCTCATGCTTACTGGTTGCGCTATGGTCCTTCAGTTGTTTTGGTCACAGGTGAACAGTTGCGATTTGCGAGCGAAGATGAGCTTCTTGCTGCTCACTCCCTTCCTGAAGAAGTTCTACAACCATCCTATACCAGAGGTGCCAGAAACTATGTTGATCTTCGTGGACATGCAGCAACTCCACAGATCTTGGATCAACAACAAGATCCTGCACCACCTGGATTGCAGTTTAGTCCAACAACACCTTTTGCCGCTTCAAGACCGGCGACCATCCGGGAAGACACAGAATTTCCTGGTGATGTTGTGCCTGCGACTCCAGCACCTCAGGAGGAAAGGACGGGAGACGAGATCCAAGAGCCTGAACCAGGCCCGTCTGCTACACCAACACCACAGGTGTCACGCAGACCCAGCAAGAATGTGCCTGCAGCTGCAGCAGCCACTCAACTTTCTCAAGCTCTACAACGGCCTGATCGACTTGATGGTCACCCGACTTCTTCGGGGTCACAACAGACCACGACAACACCATCGCAACTTACACAACAACAAGTACAACAGCAGAACACCATGGTTCTACTTCAACCCGTACCACCACAACAACTACCATTCATTTCTACAACACAACCAACATCATATGGTCCCTCAAGAACCTCAAATGGACATCAAGAATCTCCATATTTTGTGGATGAAGATTTATGGGATTGTCCTGATCTACCTCATACTGTTCGTCTTCGGCAACTCCAGCGAATGATGCCTGAGTCTGAGATTGACAGCGAGGCTTCTGAAGAGGAGTCCATGCTCACTCAGGCTCAACCTGCCGATGCTTTCCTCACTGGGAAGGCAGCCTCCTCTGAGATCTCCCTCAAGAATTTGGATGAGAGTGACCGGCAGAAGTTTCAAGATTCCATGAAGCGTGAATGGGATTCATGGATGAAGTTTGGAGCTGTTGAAGTTTTGACAAAGGGCCAGATCAAGGACTTGCCCGACGACACGCAGATCGTGGGAACACGTTGGGTGCACACCGACAAGAACAGCAAGCCCAGACTTTTGGCCAAATATCTCTCGAAGAAGACTGGAGAATCTGATGCGCAGATCAAGAAAGAATTTCCTTTTCAGGCCAAAAGCCGACTTGTTGTCCAAGGGTGCCAAGAAGATCCACAAGCTATCCGCTCAGATAGTCCCACGGCTTCTCTTTTGGCATTCAACTTCATTTGCATGATTGCGACAGTGATGAACTGGATAATTTCAGCATGTGACGCCTCCACTGCATATCTACAGTCACAAGGAATAAGCAGGTTGTTGATTTTGAGACCACCAAGACCTCCACCGCCAGGCATCAGCCCACATGACCTCCTTCGAGCACGTGGCTCCATCTACGGCACGAAGGACGCTGGTCGCTCATGGTGGAAGAAACTTTTCAGAACCTTGAAGCGTTTTGGTTGGAGAATGTCAAGAATCGAGTCAGCAATGTTTCTCCTTGTGATTGACACCAAGCTTGTTGGCGTACTCATTACACATGTGGATGATTTGTTTTGTGCAGGTGAAGGCAAGGTGTATCAGGATAGCATTTCAGCCATGGAAAAGGAGATTTACCTGAAGGTTAGTCACCGAGAGTTTCGTTTTTGTGGAAAGAACGTCAAGCAACATAGCGATGGCACCATTGAGCTGGATCAGTTCGACGCCATTGAAAGCGTGGACTACATGCCCTTGACTAAGGACAGACGGTCCTGTATCAATGCCCCTCTGACCGCAGAGGAGATCACAAGCTTCCGCGGCCTGATTGGCCAACTTGGCTGGATCACGAGGCAGACACGACCTGACTTGATGGTCAATGTGTCGGTCGCTGCCCAGAGTGTGAGCAAACCAAGAATTAAGGATGTGGTGAACCTCAACAAGTGCGTTAAGATGCTCAAGGACACAGCCGATTCGACTTGGCGATTTGTTCCCCATCCTGACATGAAGCTTGATGATTTGGTTGTTTGCGTTTTTGCAGATAGCAGTTTTGCAAACATTGAAGGCATGAAGTCCCAGTGCGGCTATGTTGTCTCTCTGACCTTGCCGAGCATTCGAAGTGGCTCCCCAACTCCTCTCTTCGTTGTTGAAACCTACTCTGGATCAGTGAAGCGAGTTTGTCGCAGTACACTTGCTGCAGAGGCCAATGGTTTTCTCACTGGTGCTGAGGCAGGCGAATACGTCCGAGCCTTACTGCTGGAACTCCAGCATCCTGATGTGAGTTTTAACGATTTGGAGCGTGAGTATGTGAAGAAGAAGGTCATTTGCATCACTGACGCAAAGAGTTTGGAGAGCACTTTGAACAAAGACGCAGGTCAACCTGGTGACAAAAGGGTTCGCATTCTAGTAGCACAAATACGTGAGATGATTGGTGAAAACAACTATGGCGATGATGACATGGTGTTCGCAGAATGGTGCGACACAAGCCAGCAACTCGCTGATGTGCTCACGAAAACTGGATGCGAAAGAGAACCGTTGCTCAATGCACTCTACCAAGGAGTGTGGCAGCTTGAGCCCAGCGACGCAGCACTGGCAAAGAAAGCCAGTATTAGAGCTTCACGTAGAGCCAGGAAACAAGGGGCAATCAAGGACGGGTGTGAAAATACCCAGGATCATACCACTAGCACTGGACATGAGGACATTCCATCATAACTGTGATTGCCACTTGTATCCGACATATCCACTACATCTGATCCGCAGGGCGCCCTTTCGAGGCACAAAAGAGGTGCTATCAGCCAGCACGCCGTTGCTAGGTTTTTGATAGTTCATCTATACCAACTGGTTGGTGGTTTGGAACCTTTTATATTGGTTGGTTGTTTGGAACATTTATTTTTCCATTTCATATATGGGATGTCCTTTCATATTTTTCAAGTTGGTTAAGTCACCACCAACCTATGATTTTCCATTCAGTTGGATATGATGGGTTATTTCATCTGGTTGCTGGTTTGGTTTTCATGGAAATTTGAATAACTTTCCCATCATATTGGGAATTTCCATCCATCCCAAGTGACGAAGTCCATCATTTTTCAGAGGGGTTGGTCAACCACCAACCAGTGACGTTGGGATTTGAGCTGATGGGTTTTGTAAGAAATCTCACTCTTGTTGGTATAACTTATCCCTTTCATTGTTTATGTAACATGAATATAACCATGTTTATGCCTACGGCTGGAAAACCGTACGTGCGTTTTGCTTCTTTTTTGAGTATTGCTCTTTGTCTTGGGGTTGGGGTGGGGTGGGGTGGGGGGGCATGTTAACGTTCCTTGTACTTCGTACATGATATATTGCCATGTTGCTAAGATCTCTGGGATCGCTTACTACGTGACATGTTGCTACGCTGCTGAGATGTCATGCTATACCTGCGTTGCTGGCAGTGGCGTTAGGAGTGCCATAATGGCAACTTGCTGTCGAAGACAGCTTCCACACTGATGGATCGCTGAGCCGACGAAGAGTGTTAAAAATCTGAACATCCACGTCTGATGCACATGATGTTTACCTGGATTTGTCAAAAAACAATAGGTTTTGCATCCACTTTTTTTAACCAAAATTCAGTTATCCAAAGAGTTCAGAAGAGCATTTTATATTGTAAATTACAGGTGATTGTGACTCTCCTGGAAGCAAACAATCAAAACGCTCGCGCGGTTTCCCATCCGCCGGGATGTTTATGAGTTGATATATATATATATATAACGAATATGTTGGGATTTTATAGCTGGAATGGATTATCTCTAATTTGTACATATATATATATATACAGTGGTTTCCATAGTCATAGGGGTACCCCTGATAGCTGGGCTACCACCATTTTGGGAAACCTCCATATGGGTATATAACAAACCTGCTGGGATTACATCAATGTCTATCCATCTAGAAAACCTTAGTATTACCCAACTAGAATGTAGATCCCCCATGCGCACTCCCCAGCGAACTGGATTTGCACCTAAAAAGTGCAATTCTGGTAGCCATTCTTTGTGGAAATTGGCCTGCAAAGCATCCAGGGCTATATTCACATTATAGCAACCCTCAAAGAGATGCTTAGACGTGTCTATCATGTTTCAGGTTACTACAACGCGTTTTAGCAGTCCAAATATGGGGGGTCAACATCTGGTTGGTATAGAAGAACTCCATATTATTGGTGTCTGAAGATGTAGAATATACCATCTGGTTATGACTAACAGTTTGCCATGGAAAATCCCCATGCTATTAAGAGCGGTAAACCATCTATTTCGATTAGGGCCATCATAATAACCATGGCAAACTGTTAGTCATAACCAGAGGCTATTGGGACATATCAATGGGATGTCCGAAAAAAAAACTCTGTCCATGACATGGCTGGTATCTCCGAACACGACCTCACGGACAGTGACCCATTTTTTTCGCCTAGGATTGGAATCGTAGCTCCTAAAAGGACTTGCCCTCTGGTTATGACTAACATAGCCATGGTATAGCTGGCCCATAGAAATAGATGGTTTACCTATTAAAAATGGTGATTTTCCATGGCTATGTTAAATAACCAGATGGTATGTTTGGTTTATGAATCATAGTCATTTGCCCAGACATGTACTGTACCCTCTGGTAAACCTTTACCAAAAACCATGGAAAATCACCAGGTTTTCATGGGTAAATCAACTATTTCTATGGACGAGGCTAGATGTTGCCGGGTCCTGGTAAAACCATGATCACTCCCATTCTAGCGAAACCAACTAGATGGCTAGTCTATTTTTGTCCTTTTTGCTAGAACTGGGGGATATATCAACTTGTAAATTGGGATATACCAACGAAAAAAAGTCATCCGTTGTGGTTAGTTGTTATTTCCCAATTTATAAGTTGTTATATCCCCAAAATCCCAAATTAAGTTGGATATTTCACAACTTATTTGTTTGGGATATAACAACAAATCCCAAATTATCCTAATTATAAGCCTATTATTTATAAATTATATCCCAATAATTTGCGATTTTATTGTAAGCCAAAAACTTATGTATAACAACAAATCTCAAATTATCCAAGTAACTTATATAATTGGGAAAGTTAAGCCCCACTTTGGGATTGTTTTTTTGGGGATATTATGATTTTTCCCATATAACTTAGTTGTGATATCCCCAAAATTATAAGCCTATTCTTTACAAATTATATCCCAATAATTTAGGATTTTATTATAAGCCAAAAACTTATGTATAACAACTTATAATTGGGATATAATAAAATACCAAATTATCCAAGTAACTTATATAATTGGGAAAGTTAAGCCCCACTTTCCAAAAACTTTCGACACCTCAACCGAGGCATCGTTGTTGTGGAAGTGGTGTCCTCGTCTCGGCTCAGCTGCGCTGCTGGCAGCGGCGGGGCTCACGACGTTTTGGTGCGCCGGGTGGAGCAGCGGAGATCGATGATGTGATGTTCATATGGAAAAAATGGATGAAAATGGTTGGTTAATAGTGATGGTTAATAGTGGGTAATAATGGTGAATGGTTAATAATGATCATTTTCCTATTAAATCACTGATTGTTGGTTAATAGTGATGGTTTTTATCGTGGTTTTTCATAGGCTATAAACCAATGGTCCATGTATATAGTGGTTAATAGTGGTTAATAGGGGTTCAAACCACCAACCAGATGAAAATGGTCCATGTATATAGTGGTTTATCTATGAAAGATAGTGTTTTCAAATAGCTATCTTAAATGTTCAACTATGGTTTATCTATGGTTTACCTCCCATGTATAGGTGATGTATGTGTCAAAAGTGATTTTCAATAGCAAAGACCATTTACCAGAGGGAATTATGGTTAATAACATGTACATAACGTTTAACCTGAACTATGCATGGTCATCATAAATCAATGGTGGTGAGTTGAGATAATTTGTGGTGATGCTAATCTAGGATTCGAAAACCCATATATATATATATCTCTTAGAATATTTGATATACTTGTGTATACGTATAACAACTGCGATTTAAAATATGGTTCTTGAATCTTAAATCATATGCTTGATGAGCCAGCAATAATGAGGCTATTAACACACACTTCTCTGGATTTTAACGTGACGACATGGATACAAAGTAGTACCCCATATGTTGAACCAACCAACAGGGATTCATCACCATGTTGATGTCATCAACCAAGTAGGGGATATTATGATATATTATGGATCCCATAGTAAAATACCAACCATGATATATGATGATTCGTTGATATATATATATATGTTTATTTATTTGTTTATTTCTACTATGATACTATTTGATATTATGGATATTGGTCCATAGTCGAACCCGCGGTATTAACCATCAAAAGTAAGACAAAGGCTCCTACCGACGAACCGGCCCAGACTGGTACAGAACGGGAATTGGAAGCATGACTTTCTGCCAGGAGTGCATCTGAGTTAGTACGGGATTGATATCTCATATACATCTCATAATACAACTGTATATAACCCATACCTAACTGAGGAGATTCTAGATGTAAGGGGCTTATCATGATACAGTCATGATCCACTAACTGGGATGAGCATCGAGGCACACCAGGGCGCAAGACACTGAAATGTTGCTGAAATGTTTGCCTTCCATGGCTCAAACTCGTATTTCCGATGTGTAGACCCGAGTTTCGCTCGTGAAATCATCAGTGTTTTAAAATGTTTTCAGCTTGAATCCTATGCTGTTGAAACCCTGTACAATCTACCACGTTCACCTCTTTCATTCCTTAAAAATCCCATCGCATCCCAAACTTCGACTTGGAAATCCCAAGTTTAGCCCATGTGTTCATGCTTCAAAAATCCCATAACATCCCAATGTCGGCGTTGAAATCCCCTGCCGTTTCCACGTCGTAGGCGTTGGGAGCTGGTGGACGTCGCCACAGAGCATCCGCAGTGGGTCACTTCGGTGGTGCTGTGCCATGGCTCTAAGCGGAACAATGGAATATGGAAGTTTCCAAAAATGGAGGTACCCCTAAATCATCCATTATCATTTTATGAGGAGTTTCCATTGTGAACCAACTATTTTCGTGTACCCCCATTTGTGGAAACCCCCTATATTGACCATTATTTACAACTATCTATATATTATATAATTATAAAACAATCGGGAGAAAGATGGTTGGTTATATAATCGGATAAGTGACTACCAAAAATACGGATGATTGATGATGACTAGCACAATGGGATACTTCGTGGTGCTTAGTGGATTTCAACCATGGGCACCTAAAGAAACGGATATGTCAAGTTGAGGTTCATATGTACACGATATCCCTGGATCAGGATTTAAGGGTTTCTTGAAATGGGGGATCCCCAAAACCATGGGTTTCAATACTAAAATGGTCTAATGTTCAACGATTTGGAGGTACCCCCATGACTAGTTAGCATTGGTATGACCACGATGATAATAGTATGATAACAGTAGCAAGAATCGTAATGTATACAATTAGTATAACCAATAAATTGGTGGATCGGGGGGACTGGTGGAAAATGCCATCAAAAACGGGATTCAACCATCAAAAATGGTGATATAATGGGACTATAATGGGATCTACCCTCTGGTAAACTAACAGTTTGCTACTGAAAATGGCCATTTAGATCGTTGATTTACCGATTTACGTATGAAAAATGGTGATTTTCCATAGCTATGGTAGTTTACCAGACGGTAATGTGGAAAATCCCAAC